TATCAATTATGAGTGGTTCAATAAATCCTGCAGGAAGCAGCAGACCTGATTCATGAGAGCTACAATCTCTTCCACAAGGAATTTTGAACACTGATTTTGTTTCATCGGACAATTTTGTTTTCCTATATAATCTAATTATATGGAGTGGTAGTGTTGTATTGTTGTTAATTTGTGGTTTATGATAATCGAAGTAGCTATATACATATATACACGTATCACTTATGTTACTATTGTATCACTCTAATTATCATAATGTGTGCTATATAGCGCTTATGTGCTCATAACTTCTGAGTCAAATCAGTATACAAATGACGGTGATAACAGGGAACAAAGTATTCTATATACATACTGCAATGTCAACGAAACAGTGTGTGTGTGAATTCAGAGTTAGTATCACAACAAGGTGTTACATATAATGTCTAGTCAGAATCCTCGAGGCCATACGGAGGCTCGTTGATGGCGTTCTTCTTGAGGAACGGCTCTCTCTCAGACGGATGTGCAGCGTCGTAGTCCAAACCTCTGCCTATGACACACCGCCGCACGAATCGACTGCGAGGGAACACGCGAACGAGAACCCACTTCACCGACGGAGCTATGATGATGTTGTAGTAGATGCACGTACCCACAAACAGGACGAGGTAACCGACCGGTTGGAGCGGCTCGAAGTTTTGCCACATTACCGACAGGGAGAAGACCCAGATGAAGATGGTACGGACGCTGTCGAGCACCATACGCGTAGTGGCACTCATGGTTTTGGTCACCGTCAGCCCGGAAAAGTTGAAGAAAGCGATGCTCACAATGAGACCGAGATTTGATAGGAGTAGCTTCCAGTTGTTACCCATCTGTACTATGCCGTCGATTGCGTCTTCGAAACGAACGTGATCCTGCCAGAAGTCGGATGAGGCTGGGAGATGCACAGGGGATGAAGTACATGGGCACCAGGAGGACTATGAGGATGGAGAACCCGAAAATTCCCTCCCAGCCGACCGCCTGGAGCGGGGGAACCTGGTACTTTTTTATTATCTTCTCCTCGAATGTCATCTGGATGGCCACGATGCCCTGTGCAGCGATGATGAGTAGATCGCCGGCAAGAACAGTGTACTTGTCCGTGTGCTGGCCCTTCTGGAAGAAGATGAAGTCCCCGACGCCGACAAGGGCTAGGCCAATGATGACACTGAACATCCCCACCCATTTGTACAACTGTAGCTTCGAGTCGAGAAACGCCACGGAGAGGAGCCCCGTGAATATGATTACACTTCCACGAAGCATCTGGAAACTTGCGGCGTACGTCCAGGTGAGCCCGAGGTACATCGTAGAGGTCGCCGTGAGGTCACACATCGCGGGGATGGCCCATATCAGAGGGTTAAACTTCTGCGGGCCGAACTTGGTGAGGTCTTTCTTGGTGAAGTAGTAATAGTAGTACCATATCTTGAAGGCGACGATGCACGACATTTCTCCTAGGAACATCAGCACTGCCTGTGACATAATGATGGTGTTGAGGTTAAGTTGCATTACTGATGTGTGAGTGCAGGGTTCTGCCCATTGTGGAACTAATGGGGGGCCCAAACAAAACGGAGACCAGGGCCACTAGAGTGAAACCCTTCTAATCTGGAGACCAATGGTTGACAGAAGAATGTGTCCATTTTAGTGAGGTGTCCTTATTTCAATTGCACTCAGAAACTAGGGGACGAAAGTTGTCCTTCCAGGGGTGTCCTTAGAGGGGTTCCACTACTACTGACCACACAGTTTGATCAGGTGGCGGTATTTTGCCAGCGAGTCATTGACCACCTCGGCCACGTGTGGGCAAAACACCATGTGGTTTTACAAACCTGCCTCTTAAAAGAGTATACGTGTACGTATGTATGCATATGTACGTACTTGAAAGTAAGGATGGATAAAGAGGTGGGGTGGCCTTGGGTTAGTGCCACGGGCATACAGCTGGTCGGCCCATCTGTGTGAGGGAAGAATGACAAATCAGCCTCAACATGAACACACTTCCGTTCATGTGAAAAAGACCTTACTTTGCAGCTAGTGTGTTGATGGTCCCTGTGAAGACCATGATGACAGCTATGATAACGTGGAAGAGAATTTTGCCGACCTTTCCCTCCATTCTCCACCTCTCTCCCTGTGGACACATCATTACAGCATCAGACAACATTTGAGCTGGGTTCTAAATAAGGCCCACTGATGTTCACCCACGACTCGTACATAGGGCACTAGCCATAGATTGATAACAACTTACTCTTCTAGCGGCTAAATCTTTCTGACTGTAATAGGCAGCCTACTAACTCCGGTCGAATACGCGAAGAACCCGAAGGAAGGCGATCTTATTTTTATAACCTCCACTGAATTAAGGAGGCCGAGGATGAGGGGGTATTAGGCGATTGAATCACGTGTCTGTCTCCCCCGCCCACTTATTCATACGCATGCGCAAATCACTGGCTTAACTCCGCCTACTTTTTTTAACTCCCACGCACTTGTTGGCTAACTAGCTCACGGCGTAGGTATGGCTTGCCTTCTTTGCCATCTGCACTTCTGGACGCTGAAAGCTCTTTCTCCCAGGACGGGGACTGGTAAGAGACGGCGTACAGCCAAAAATATACAGCGTCTAAAGCTTTTTGGATCTTCAGGCGGTGATATTGGCACTCATACGTATCATGACAAAGTAGCAGCTAGTACCTCGTCCTCCACTGTAGGTGAGCTCTCTGGTATATCAGCTATATATACGTCAGTATGCAGTCTATTTTAAGCTATCTGACTAGCGAAAAAAACGCAAACGTAGCTGCTAGAGCCTAAGAGCTAATGCAATGTGCCATTGTTCATGCAGCAACTGAGGATACTGCATCTTCGTGTCGGATAGAATGGGCTGAAGGTCTGTGTGTGTCTGTCTGTGTGTGTGTGTGTGTGTGTGTGTGGTGAAAGACTGTCTGCCTATCGACCAGTAAGAAAATGGCTGGGGAATAGTGTTTTGTTCTCTACAGGGCGTGGCATCACCTGGACACCTCGTAACAAGCCAGACAGACTGAGAGCCCGTCTCAAGGAGTGTGAAGTGAGTCAAGTCATCTGTATTCAATATGACTTCCACCGAATACCGTAGGAGCTACTGTCCCAACACCCTCCAGTCTGTGTGAAGTGGAAGGCCCTCCGACACTGTCTAGTAAGCCACACCCACCCTTCTTTCTCCCCTCACTTTCAGATTGTTTCTTGTATTCACCAAGATTCTCCTGAAGAATGGAGTTCTGGTAACAGTCACTGTTGCAAGGCACTCTGGAGACATTGAGAGACTCAACATTGACAGGAGTCTAGTCACTAGACTTCCCTCCAATATTGATGCTGGTATTTAGCTACAACTCCTACATGTCCATAATACTTACCCTGCCAATGATTTTCAATTTTGCTTCTCTCTCCCTCTCCTTCTACTTCTCCTTCCTCTCTCTCATCTCTTTTCCTTCCCTTTCTCTTACCATCTTTCTTCCCTCTCATTCTTAATCCCCCCACACACACAGCTGTGATAGGAGACAACAGTATCCTCTTGTCTCTCTCGGAGGACCACAGACCGGCCATTCTCTCTCTGCAGGCCAAGAAGCTGACAGGATCTCCCCTCCCTCTCTCACTCACTCAGACTGACTCGGGCAGGAAACTTGAGAGACTATCAAACGTCGACCCAAAGGTTCCTCCTTAACACCCACTGCCTTAATTTAATGGCCACACCTCTCATATTCTAACCAAAGTGTTCCTCTCCACCCTTCGTAATACATGCAACACTGACAGCTGCCATAGAACCTAATGATATATGTTTTACTTTAAGGCACCTCTGTGCTTTGATTTCTGCTGAAATCAGAAGGGTATCTTAATAGAGCAACTCTGCCTTGCCTATATGTGTGTAGTTAACAATAACACTTCATTTAAGCTGACTCTTAGAACATTTTCAAATCTATTCCTTCTCATCGCTGGTAGCTCCATTTTGCTCACGTGCGAGGACTCCCAGTGACGGGGATATGGAAGCACGTGAGACTCAACACCATAGGAGATCTGGCGGTATTTTGGTGGAGGGAGAGGAGCCCTCACTCCCACACCACTCACAACCTACTACTCTTCTTCATCAACAGGTGGGGGGGATATATGCACGATGTGGGGAGAAATGGTTTCACGGGATGGAATGTGTATATAGGTCAATAAGTGGAAGTTGCAGTGTTTGGATGCAATTCCGTGCACTTGGTGGTTTCGGGAGAATTTGTAGGCCCCAAAATTATCGTGCCACTGACCAACGTGTTGCGTAGGGACACTTACAATTCAGCCTTGAAATTTGTGAATGTGTGTTTTTTTAATGTGGACTGTGTGTATAGTGGCATAATGGACTATGTTGGGGGAGTGCATACTGACTATCAACCAGTGGACATTCAATTCAGGTAATATCTAATATAATGGATGTATCGAGACTCTGCTGCTACTGTCGTCCCAACAGTAAGAAGTACTATCGGAAGTTGTACTGTCTGGAGAGGGTCAGTAGGTCAGCCTACCTTTCATCCATGTACGAGTGTGGAGAAAACGAGGTAAGACATACTGTGTAGTATTGAGAAAATTTTTGTGATTGGGTTAATTTTTTTGCGGATTGCTATCCAAATGGTCTAAAAAACTTTCGTAGTTGGCTCTCTTGGCCACATTTTTTAATCCTTCGAAAATTTTCCACGATGCAGTCTGTATACCAAGTGGGACTGTTTGAACATGTGTGTCATTTTTTTAATTTTTGTACAGTTGTCCAAGAAATCAATTGAATCTGAGATACCACTGTCAGGTATGTTTCCTAACTAACCTTGGACGAAGGGGTGGACTGAGAATGTGAACATTGTCTTGCAGGCAGAGTGGTCGTGTGTGAGAGGAGTGTGGATGAGACCAAGATCATGCTGGCCTGCGAAGACGGCACAATTGTGAGCCTCCCTTCCCCTTCTCTCTCCCCCCCCTTTCTTTCCTCTCTTTTTCTTGGCATTACTAAGTATTATTAACTATTGGCAGGTTCTACACGATGTGATTGGAGGAAAAACTACATCAACACAATCCTTTATAGTGAGTCCAATTACGTGTGGTAAGATGTGACATACTCTACTATGGACAATAAAGCAGTCAACAGCAGTGCAGTAGACCATTACATATGCTGTTTTCCCCCAGAAACCGATCCATCTCATCCGCTGGCACCCAGCCGGCGGCTTTGCCTGTGTCCTCAGCTCCAAGGGAGAGCTCCAGGCGTTTGACTTGGGACTCAACCCTCTCCAGTTCCTGCTGAATGGGGAGGAGCCTTCCCCCACCCTCATACTCAGTCTCCACAGCCATATACTGTGAGGGTAGTAGTAGGCAGAGAGAGGAGCACCACATACAGCCGAACCTCGTTAATATGAACTCTAGGGGACCATCAAATAATGTTCATATTACAGTAGCTACATAGTTGTATTAGTGTTATAATGCCTGGGGATTCCAAAGTGGTTCGTAATATTAAGCAGGTGTTTCGCTTTAACAGTGTTCGTATTAACGAGATTCCACTGTAATGAGCAGGGGAGGAGCCTTATAATTATTATAGGTCCCATTAAGGTTGGGAAAAGGTGCAAATGAGCCCATTATTGTGAAATTGAACATTGCAGAGGATGGCATGCATGCATGTATAGGGATGGGCATGGTACCTAGCATCATAGATGTATGGTTATAATTATTAGGCCTACAAGACCAGGAGTGATACTGGGGAAAGTGATATCTGGGAGTAAGAACGTAGCAACACTTGTACGTGCTAATTGAAAGTAGTTATTAAAACGTAGCTGTGATGTGTGATTGTGTCCACCCGTGTAGTGGAGTGACTCGTCTGATTAGGGCAGAGTGGGGTTCGGGACTGCGAGAAGGGGAGGGCCACGGAGGTTGCTACGACAACTTCATCATCATCTTTGAAAAGTGAGTCTTTCCCAACACAGCCTTATACTCACTCCACTATTGTTTCCAAACATTTTTGTCGGTATGCTCTGTCTCCAACAGTGCACATATTCAAACTCAAGAACATGGCATGCTTTTCCGCAAATCTCTCTCTTAGCCTGTGTGTCCCTTTAAATGCAGTGTGTAGTGTGTTGGCATGGTGTTTGTGTACTGGTGTAAACATACATGTAACCCCCCGGTACCTCGCCAGTAGCGCTTGCGTTGCCCCTGGCTTCTACCAGCTAGGGTCTTGTTCTCTTTCTTACTGAGTCTCAGCACATTCAATAGATACGATACAGCTGCCATTAGACTTGGCTAGTGCTAGACTGGCCCCACGTGGGCTCTCTATGCTACTTATACTTATAATGATTATATTTATACGATGTATAGAATACGCATGTGTATATAGTGTCTCGGTCTTTACACATATTGTACAGTGGGCCAATGGTTCTATTGAGGCTGGAACTGGGGGTGATGAGCAGGGGCTGTGTGGGACCAGTTGAGATGGTCTGTGAACACCTCAGACTGGGACACACCGACAAGGTATGTGTTAGACCGTGCATCTGATAATTGTCTGCAGGTTTCGTACATAATTAAGTTTGCTCACTGGCTGACCGACCACATTTGTGAAAGTTGCTTTGAAAGATTTGTGTCATGTACTAGTATCTAGTCTAGACACCCCTGAAGTGTGAATTTACCCGAAGGCACACTCTGCATTGTGCTACTTAGTCACTTAGTGGTGTTGTGGGTCTTGCTCTCAGCTGTCAGGGTGGCAGAGTGGTCTAAGGCGCCAGACTCAAGAGCAATCTTGCCTGCATTGCAGGTTCTAAGCCTTCTGGTCCACGTATGTGGGCGTGGGTTCGAATCCCACCTCTGACACCATTTTTTCTTTTTTCACCCTTCAGGCAATTCGGATACTCCACATGCTGAGTTGGTTGAATCAGTCACTGGAAGCTTATTCCACCCTCTCCCTTATTATCAATCACACTCTCAAACTACCACTCACTGCAGAAACCATTGGTTTGTTCCCTTAGCTCTTCCTTCACTCTTCTCTTTCTCTCTCCTCTTCTTCCTCCCCTTTCCCTCTCTCTTTTCCCTTTGCCTCTCCTCTTCTCTAGCTACCTTTGTCTCTTCTTTCCCCAGCTCAAATGGACGAGGCTCTGGCGACTTTTCTGACACCTGAAAAGCCTGTTCCCCATCTTGCCCACAGGGACAGTATCTTCAACCTAGCCAGACGCTACTTCTTCTTACTCCTCAGGTATATATACCAACACGCACATTGTACAGAGTCTCATTTAGAGGGTGGATGTTTTGTTTAGGCATGGATGGCTGGAGAAGTGTCTTGAATTGGCAGAGCAACTAAATGCTAGAGACCTCGTAATGGTGAGAACCAGGGATTGTTAATAGATGGAAAATTATCATACAATGGGGATTATTGGAAGCCTTAAATTTCCTCTAACGTATTGGTGAGGCTTAAATTGTGGCGGTCAGTTTGACAGCAAACTTCCATATTTGTGAATTTCTCAGGACGTGTACTTCAGAGCCACTCAACTGGGTCTCGATACTCTGGCAAAGACAGCCAGACAGACAGCTCAGCAGATCCCTCTCGGGGGTGAGCCCATGTCGTCAGACCAGCTGAAACTGCTCGACCTGGTCTCCTCCGAGAGTCCGCACGCCCAGACCAGCAGCGTGCCTCGTCTGCTGGGCAGCTGGGACGAGAGAGATGACCAGTTGCAGGGAGGAGACTGGCTCGAGGAAAGAGGACGCGATTTTGCCGACCGTTTGGCATCGATGAAGTTTTATACCTCAAACGGTACATACATTGCTAAGTTGAAAGTTTAGTGTATATTACGTATGTACATACAGAATACAGTTCGGGATCAGAAGCAATGGGAGACAGTTTGCCAGAAGACTCAATACTTGACAATGAGGTATGATATATACCTCACTTCAGCCACCAACAATGACCGTCAAAATTTGCACTCTCTGTCCATTTCTCTAGAAAACGCCTGATGCTGGGAGCCAACTATAGAAACTTGCCCGATCTGTGTCTGCGCAAGCGCGCGATATGGAGAGTATGAATATTGACCATAACCACAATCTAACGGACGCATGTGGAAGTTATAAAGCGCGCTTCCGCAGCGAATGGTCAATACGGTAAACTTTTTATATAGGGATGGCTAAAAATTAGCCAATTTTTTGGAGGGTCAGACTAGAGGACCCGGCATTGAAAACCAAACATAAACACTCAAATCTCCTTTTCATGTTCTCTTTCTCTCTCGCCTTGCGGTTTTCGCGAACCTCCGTTCACCATAGCACTGCACACATACATCACATGCACCCGACCGAGGCCGGCCGACTAGACTCGCGATGTTGTGTGCCTGCTGCGCATGCTCATAGTGAGGCCTGGACGGCCAGCCGTTTGCGAGTGATCGTGAGTTGCTGCTATGGACGAGCAGTTGGATCGGCTGCAAGACAGGGACGGGCGTTTCTCCGCAGTGGTGCGGCTGGTTCACTGCGTCACTGGTCCTCGCCTGCGTCGCCAGTACCTGATGGGAGCCGACCAAGCGGTAGATTTGGGGCGGTGGGCACTATTTAGACCTCCAGGTCGCTATACCCAAACCTCTGTACTTGTTCAGGGCCTGCCGTACACTCCCAACAAACTGGAGCAATATGCTGAGTGTGTGGTCATAGCAGTGAGTGTGTACATCCAACCATACATTCTCAAATTCACATAGTTTTCCATTTCAGGCCCACCTTCTCTGTTCCTTTGCCTTCTACACTTCGCCTATGTACTTTTTATACTATCTGCTTAGATATGGTGAGGACTACAAGTTGCTTGTCCACCTCCCCAACATTGCACTTGTCTGCATTGCTTTCAGGGGTGCCTACTACGGTAGGAGTGCTCAGTACAGCAAGGAACCTGGCTTTCATACCCATCTCGCTGTCCCTTGCCTACATAGTAAGAGGTGTGTTCTCGAACCAATGAGTCTCTTTGGGACAACTCAGTGTCGTGCATGTGTGTGTGTGTCAATTCAGGTGTTGGGAGGTTCAATAACAGAACGTACGTTGAGTTTCTGCGGTCGTGGAATGCCACGCGGAGAATGAAGACCAAAGTTGGACCTGCTGAGGTATATACATAGGTTAGCTCACAGCATTCAATCTGTGTTGGATAATATTCTTTACTACGGAAATAAGCGAAGATATTCCTAATAGACAAGATCATATGATATGCTCTAATGGCAGGGTCTGTGTTCTATCTCACACAGGCTAGGTTGACTGGTATACATGGCTACGACTTTGACATGAGGTCCCACCCCGTCACCTTCCGTTTCGATGAATCCACCGTCAAGTAAGTGAGCTCCGAACGACACCCACGTTTCGATTTCTCAACCCTCTGTGTGTGCTCACTCGTCCCAGGCCCCGCAGGATCATGAGTGCCAGGAGGAAAGGCCTTCTCGAGAGACTCTCCAAATTCCCCATCTCTTCTCTCAGGTATGGAGATGCCGTATAGTGGGAAATTTTTAGGGAGAACTTCTTTCAATTCGATGGACAACTATGTAGAAAACTCTCTCTGATTGCTTGTTTACGCCATAAAAATGGCCGCCTTTCCCCCCAACATATTTAACTTTTGCCGATGGCTCTGCAATTGGTTTTCTCTCTGTACTCTATGGCGTGGTGTATATACATGGTCTATGGTCTGTTCCCCTGTGTTGTTAGATATATAGCGGCTCACATGGTTGGACGGAGGCTCATATATCCCGGGTCTCTCATGCTCCTCAACCTGGCAGTGGGTGAGTTAGTGATCATCTCCCTGTGTGTGTGTGTCTGATATGAAGAGGTATTGTATAATGTGCTCAGCTGAACCATCATCTCGAGGCCGAGCAACTTACAAGAGAAAGGTAGGTGTGGTCTCGTGTACATCTCTCACTGGTTTTACTCTCTACGCTGTATCACGGGGATAGTTTAGAGGAGAACTTTATTGTCAGTTTTAAAACCTGTCCGATGTTAGTGAGCATAGCAAACCTTTCTACGCCACCAAATTTAGTCACAACTTTATTCCTATCCTGCTGTGCAATATCTCTATATTGCAGTACGATGCACATCGGGCTCGACTGCTGGCCTCCGACGGGAACCAGCTGGACTGCATGTTTGTTGATCGCAGGGGTTCCCCCGACGTCACCGCCAGGGGCAACCGTCTCGTCATCTGCTGCGAGGGGAACGCAGCCTACTATGAGCTGGGCCTTCTGGAGGTCCCAGCTAAAGGTGACACACACCGTTATTCCAGTGGGGAGTTTCCGTGTGCGTATGTATGGTGAGCATTCCGTGCTTTAATTCTATTAAGGGTCACAGAGAAAATTTGAACCTCTTTTAATTAATCTGTGATAATGGTTTATAACCCTTCCTTTTTGATATTAACATCTCTCTAAAATCTCTCTCTCTCTTTGGTGAACTGCTAGCTGGGTACTCAGTTCTTGGCTGGAATCATCCTGGATTTGGAGATTCTACCGTAAGCCTTATACTGGGACCCTCGATATTACTCTCTATTTGACGTCTGATTGTGTTTTGATTGCAGGGGCTCCCGTTTCCCTCCCAAGAGTTCAATGCAGTTGACGTGGTGGTTCGCTATGCAGTCACCGACCTTGGATTTGCATTCCAGGATATCATCGTGTACGCCTGGTCCATTGGTAAGCTACCTTCACTAGCGTGTTAAAACCTTTTCATTTTTCCAATTTAATGTTTGTGTATTGTGCAGGTGGTTACACAGCCTCGTGTGCAGCCATGAGCTACCCTGACATTGGAGCTGTTGTGAGCAATCTCGATATTATCATCAGCTAAAGACTTGTTGCGTGTGATTCTGCAGGTGCTGGACGCCAGTTTCGACGATCTCTTTCCACTTGCTCAGAGAAGAGTCCCTCCAGCCTTTGGTATTTTAATGTCCCGTTTATTCAATTCTTTATTCGTTCTATCTCTATGTACATGTATCTCTGCCTGTCTATCTGTCAGTAAGCTTCACCCATGGAATGGTTCGGGAGTACTATGACCTCAACATTGGAGAACAGATGTGCAGGTATGGTTTATATGTAGCTGATCAGTTCGCGTTCACCTTGGGTAGGAAAAATCTGCTGTAACTCTGCTAATACTACAGCTGATTCCGGAGTTTCAACGCGCAATGCGTTTCAGGCAGTCCGTTGGTTCTAACGTTGCATTAATCAACCCCCTGATACCCAAGTCTTTCCATTACACATGGACTTGAAGGGCTCTCCCGCACATGATCTCTGTAATACTACGTGCATAGAGATGTTTCAAAGCTACCAGTGACGGTTTTCTGACTTTCCCCTCGTGACAGGTATTCCGGACCGATACTGATTGTGCGACGTACTGAGGACGAAATGATGTCAATGTAAGAGTGTCCGAACCTGTTTTACCTACACATTCTTCGTAAACGTCTGTGTCGTAATAATTATGTCCACAGAAATGGTGAAGTGGGGACGAACCGAAGCAACCACCTGCTTGTAAAAATTCTTCAGCACAGGTGTGCACCGAGCATCATTTCCCAATAAGTATACTGGTGTATATACATATACTGCCTTATACCACAGGTATCCTAGCCTAGCTACAGCACAGAGTCTGCCTTCACTGTGGAATTGGCTGCAAGCTGAAACCGAGGAAGAGAGAAGTGAGTCTCTTTTTTCGTATACCTTCTTCTATGGTTTATGTACATTCCCGCATGTATGAATATCATTGTATTATAATTATGTGGCTGAATAAAATTGGCAAAAATAGTAAAGAGTGTTTTCTAGTAGGGAAAAGCTATTGGTGCTGCTTGCTGTGTTAGTGACTAGTGGGAAAAAATGTCGGACAGCGTCAGTGGAAAGTTTTTCCCTGGGCGAGGCTACGAACCCCGCGCCAGAGAGTTTCATACCCAAAATGAAGTGACTAAACGAAGTATCCACTTGACTAAGCCGACAGCGTGGGTTGAATTCTGTAGGTATTTATAGAGGTTCAAGTATTGCACACGTGCGTTTGAGCATTCCTGTAAACTGTGCGGTTATATTATACATCTTATATATAGCTCTACTGACAGTGTCTATAAATCCAAGAGTGTGCTCTTCGAAATTGAAGTCCTACATGTCTGAGTTTGGTAGCTCCTATCCGTGGACCATAGGTGGGTATTTTGTTTGACTGTGTTACTGTGAGATAACCAGTGGCTGTCGGCACTCCAGGCAATGGGATGCCCCTGTCAGAAAAAGTGGAGCTGCTATTGTTTCTGGTAAGATTTTGAGTTGTGAATCAGTAGAGATATTTTTCTTCAGGTTGGCCAGTACGTGGTAAACTACGAGTCAACTCACTGTGTCATTCTGCCAACTGACTATTTCAGAGTTCCTCCGCCTGGAAATATACAGTAGTAGTTTCTCATAATTTAGCCTGTGTGTTTAATATAGGGGCACTTGCACTGAAATTCGTTGTAGAGTCGTTATTACGTAATACCTACGGTGCGCGCTATTTTGGGTTGAGATGAGCGTGCGGTCTTTCAGCAAGTATCTAGTGTTCTGCCTGGCTCTTCTCTGTCTCGTCAGTTTCGTGTTTTACACGAAAAGATTTCACTGGTACTGCTCTCCACGAGCTGCACAAGAACTAGTCCCCGTTCAAATATCGCCTGCGGTGGTTGTGAATGCAGCATGCTCTTCTCCGGTGGTACGGCGGCCGGCGGGAGGTCTCGTGGTGGCGTTTCGATTCTGGGAGCAGCAGACACAGGCCATGAAGAGCCTGGTGCAGCTGCAGTGCCTCGCCAGTCGCATGGGATTACGAGTCGTGGAGCCGTTTCTGTACGGCTCGCTTCTTGGCCTCCAGCCGGAGGCGTTGAACGGCGAAGGCTACCCTCACCTGAGCGAGTTGGTCGACGTGGACGTCTGGAACAGAGAGACCACTAGCAAGTTCGGTTTGTTTCCGCTGGTAAAGTGGTCAGAATTTATCAGGTACTCTCCAAGACAATTGATTCTTCTGTGCATAAAATATCGCAATCCGCCTCACATTAGGATCCCCGCACCAGGGTTTAGTTACACCGCCGGCTGCCCCGCCGCTTGCTTCGACAAGTTCAACAAATCGGTTACTGCTCTAGCTCAGTATGGCCGGTTTATAGTTGTTCGGAGGGCCTGTGTAAATTTTCTTGATTACGCTGGTGTTGTGGGCGAATCAAGTTTCATTGGGGAAATTTTGGCAAATTTCGATTATCGAAAGGTGACAGTTTTGATCAACGAATTCAGAGGATTCTTTGGGCTCTATCGTGCACAGATTGCGTCGTCTTGTGCCGTTGATTTCTTCAAGCCAAACTTGACAATTGCTCCTAGTGTCAAGATCATGGGTGATGCTCGTAAGTACGTGGGCGAAGTTATCAAGGACAAGCCGTTTGTAGCCATACTGGCTCGTTTAGAGAGAGTCGTCCTCCACTTGGGCCACAATCTCACACAGTGTAGTCTCACACTCAAATCAGTCCTCAAAGACTTATCACATGAACATGGCACTGACGAGTATTTCCTTGCGATGGATGTGGGAAAGTTTGGTAGTAACGGAGCTACCGTACACAACCTAACAGGGCACGGAGCTGTTGTGTTAGACGCAGTGTACGGTGGGGATCTCTCTTTCAAGGAGTGGGAAGCAAGTTTTGAGGCTCACACGTCGAGAATGGAGGGAGCTTATGTGGCAAACTTGCAGCGAGCAATAGCTTCGCAGGCAACGTGTCTGGTGATGTTTGGAGCCGGAGGGTTCCAGGGTCAGGCTAGAGACCTCTACGAGAGGCATCATTTGGACCGGGGAAAGAGATGTGTTCACAAGATATGCCATGATCACAAGGGAACTGCTCCTCTACATGTTCGGCTCACATGACATGTTCAGATCTTGTAACGACATCATCATTCCATGTTCATTCTCAATCATCTTAAACCATGAAAATCAAGGATGTACGTACGTCACCAAATGCAAGCAGTCATAGATGACACCATAAGTTTATAACCGCAACAATGTGCATATTAAATTCTTATTCAGGTGTATGAATGAACTTTTTCATCGGTTGGTTGTGGTCAGAATAACAGGTAATAATATTGATGATTTGGTGCTGACTAGTTGATGTATGCTGCAGTGATCACACGAACTTGTGCCCATACAAGTGCTACGGATGACTATGGAAATACATGTAAGCTCAGGTCTTCTTTTTGCCACGACCAAGAAAACTGCCCTTAGTGGAGCGACTGCTGGAATTGGAGGCGCTACCTTCGAGTCGTTTTTCCAGTTCCTGGTTCCGGCACTGCGACTCCACCAGTGCCAGTTTCGTCTGTGCCAACTCCAGCTCCAGTTTCCGCAGTTTCCCCTCCGACGACAGGGTGGCTTTGTGCTCCGAGAGTGGGTGATCAGGTTGCTGTGGGTCTCGTGAGGCCGAGGTGGCAGTGTTTTGCTGCATGCTGCACTGTGCCTGTGTGACGAAGAACAGAAATCTTTAGTGTACACTACAGTAGTTCATTTCTGATAATTGGAACACTTTTTGTTTGTTCATGAAATTATAGTTCATAGCATACCCATCATGCACACTATCTCTAGTTACTTAATACAAATTCATAATCACGCCCACATATTATACTGAATGAATATTTGGTGCAAAACTTGCCTTGACTTCAATTAGCTCCTGATTCAACTCGCCTACTTGTTTCTGGTGGCTTTCGTCCAACTGTTGCGCCAACTAGTGTCACACAAACAAGTAAAACTTCGAATGGATGTGAAAGATTATTTTGAGGCTCACCTGCTTGTATTCTGATACTGTAGCTGAATTCTGCACTCTTTCTTCCATTAGTTGAACCATAACATTCTGATATTCCACCTTTGCCTGTAAAAAATTCAGGATAAAAAAAACCTGCATCTACTGGTGTAAAACACTCATAGCACAGCAGAAGATGAGTAAGAAGGAAAAGAAAAAAGGAAAAATGGTGTCAGAGGTGGGATTCGAACCCACGCCCACATACGTGGACCAGAAGGCTTAGAACCTGCAATGCAGGCAAGATTGCTCTTGAGTCTGGCGCCTTAGACCACTCGGCCACCCTGACAGCTTGCAGCGGTAGGGCCAAAATACCGCCTATAAGCCGCGTGTACCTGCTTCAGTTCTTCTCTCAGCTCCGCTATCAAGAGTTGAGCTGCTTCAGTGGCAGTCTTGTGTGCTCTGGATTCTTTGCTCAGAGTGTCTATTCTCTCCTCCAACTACACAGGGACACACCATTACTGAGTAGCGTATTCAACATCTCTACGTACCCTGTCCATTTCTTCCCTCATGCCGGCCTTACTGGCAACCAGCTCTTGAGTAAGATGCCCATTTTCTTTCTCCAGCTTCACTATTGTGTCTCGCATTAGCTTGTTGTCACTCTGTACACAAAATATAAGGGTTTACGTATTCAAATTCCTCAACAAAACCATTTACATTCTGTGAGTGCCTCAGAGCTCACCTCAAGTCTTCTCAGAGGGTCCTCCAGCTCAGCTTGCTGCTCCAGGTAAGTTGGATAGTCCTTCTCCATCTCTTTCAGTTTTCTCTCCTTCACCTACGTACACCCAAATACTACTTACAGTTGTACAAGGAGGGGTACAGTCGTTGAGGTTGTAAACCCATCAATTGCTCGCCACAAGGCACACTTAAAATACACTCATGCATTGCCTGAGCAGTTTCTGCGACGTGCAATGATTTGTGCATAACACGCAGATGAAAAATGGAGTCCCCAAATTCTCAATGTCTTACCTTGAAGGATGATGCAATACGAAAGAGCTCATTCACTGAATCCTCAGACTGGAACCGCTTGGGGACCGACTCTCTGAAATAGTTCAGGATTCCTTCAAAATCCAGGGCTTTCAGGTCGTGCTTGCAAATCTGGTTGTAGAGACAAAACAAGGTGAACTACCACCCAGTGAATTGCTTGCTACGCCTGTATCACAAAGACACAGAGAGTATATTGGTGGGTAGAAAAAGCACTCCAGAGTGATTCAAACCATTGCACCTCACGATTACACATTTTTGTCTTCACCTTTAGGATGGCTAGTGCAATCTGGAACATGATGGTTGGACCCTACAGGAAAAGACAACTTCAACAGTCCATTTACAATACAGTATAAATAGCTATATGATATATAGTCTGGTAGCAAGGCAAGGGCGGAGGAATGTTTAGTTACACTTCAGTATTCTACTCTTGCACAAATAACCACACCTACGTATAAAGTTGCCGACAAGTGCTGAAATTGATAAAGTGGACTAGAGCACGCTGCATCACCGTACGTACCTCGCAGAGGAAGACGTCCATGACTCTAAAGACCATGGTGATGGGGAACTTGGCGGTGTAGATGGTGAGGAACCACTGGGAGGAGTACATGTGTGTCTCCACTCTCTCATGGTGGAAGTGGCCGTGGAGTCCCTCCATGTACTCCTGCATGACAGGGGGACACCAACACACACTGACATACAAATGTGACGTATAGATATACAAAAGCACCCCACCCCCCCACACACACACAGAGAGACACACACACACATACACATACACACACAAGGTGGTAAACACAATATTGTGCAACAATACACTAACAGAAAATCACTATCGAGAAAGAGATGTCGAATTATAATTATACTTCTCAGAAGAATCTGGCATTCTTCATTACATCATGGGTTAAGGCATATCTGCTATCATCATTGTGTGCAGTACGATATACACAGCTTACTCAGTCGTGGGGTCTATGGCTATGTAAACACCGTAGCTTACGTACATCTGGGGCTGTTTGTGTGTCTATGCATACAATAATGCTATTATAGACGTTGCCGATTGTAGACATTAGCACTGTCTTGTGAGGTGCACATATGCAGCATCAGTAATTGTGACGATGATAATAATAGAGAGGTAGCTAGCTACAGGTGTACCTTGAGCAGTCTGTCCAGTTGGTAGAACATGAGGTGAAGCTGATAAAAGTTCGTCTTGAACACGTCCCTATGGTGATACTGGTACATGATCTTTATCAGAACGGCAAACGCCTGTTCCTCCGGCATTTTCTGGCCACAAACACAATACATCACGTAAAAACAGGTGGTACATTATCAGTAGAGCATGTGACACATAATTATGAGGAATGGCCCTGGCCTAGTAAATGGACAAAAATAGTTTTGGCAAACAGTGAAGGTGAACAGTATCAGTGGAACCTCTAATCCGGACACTAATTGGATAAAAGAAAGTGTCCGTACTAGCTAGGTGTCCTTATTTCAGGCATAAAGCAATAACTGTTGTTGGGGAAAGAAAAGGTGTCCGTGATAGAGATTCGTCCTCATTTCAGGGTTGTCCTCAGAAAAGACGCCCCACTCTAAAACTCCCGACAAGTCACAAGCAGTTTCCCTTCCCTCCCTCCCTCACCTGGAGGAGGAGGACGGCGACGATGAAAGAGAGCCCCTGGCAATACCCCACCTCTGCGTCGTAGATTGAGTAGGCCTTGCTGATCTTGTAGAGAACGTCTCTGGCCACTGGCTCGTGGAAGTAATCGTGACCGAGATACGTTCTCTGCATGTCCATGTTGATGATATTCTCTGCTGGAGATTCCTTCAGAGACAGAAGGAGGACAAGAAAGAGAGAGAGAAGAGGAGAGACAGAAAGAAGAGAGGGAAACTGAGATAAGAGGAGGAGTAGAAATAGCGAGAAGAGAGATAGGGATGAGAATAGAGAATCTCGCTCTTTTCTACGCCCTCTCTACTCTCTCGTCTTTCCTCACTCTCTCTAGCGCTCTCTCTTTACTGCCCCGTCGCTCCTCTCGCTCGGTCTCCCCGCTGCTCTCGTTCGCCCTGCTCTGGCTCGCTCCCCTCTCTCGATACGACGAAATGACAAGATTAACTCTTTATTATACACCTCTAATCTGGACACCAATTTCACAGAAGAAAGTTTCAAGGAAGAAATGTTCTTGGGGGATCATTCGAGAGGTGTCCTTTTCAGGGGTTTCCTTAGCGAGAGAGGGGATCCACTGTAGCTTCATCCACAGGCCTTCCCCACTGCACTGTATGCTATATGGACCAGGGTTATGTATGTCTCGTGTGTGCAATAATGATGTCCCTTCAGTAGTAGTGAAGGGCCTGGAAACGAGACTACTTCATATTCAAATCCTACAGGCAATTGTGCCTTTAAATGAAGCACACTGTGCTTCCTTCACACTGCAGCATGTACACATATGTACAGTTATGGTGTAGTGTACCTTAGGAATGAGTAGTCGGTAGGACTCCAGTAGCTGTGGGTCGTAGGCCGCTCCCGACAACATCTGCCACACCTGACAGCGCAGGTGGTACGGAATACCCTAGAGAGCACAGGGAAAGAAGGCTGCAGTACACAAAAAGGAGGCAGTCTGCTAGCGCAGCCTACTCTTATTGAAGCACGAAATTTGCTCGATCCTTTTTGTATAGTTCAACAACCTTACTACCGATTTTCCTGAGGTTGACTTACCAGCTATAGAGTTTCTTCACCTATGTACCTACAGAGTGTACTGGTATTCCCACAGAGTTTACTGACTTATTTACAGGGTTTACTGACCTTCCTGCAGAGTTTACTGAGCTGCTTGGGTCGTGCCTTGTCCCTCTGTTTCCCGTCCCACTTGTCCAGAACTTCTCCCCAGTCTTTCAGCAGGTCCTCCTTCATGTCCTCTGCCTCTCCCCAGCCCGACACCATCGTCTCCTCCTCACCGTCCTCCACTTCGGGGTTCAAGAGAGAGAGAGTCGAGCGCTTACGTCCGAGCATCCCAACACGGTGAGTGCAGGCGTTGTTTGTGCTGCTGCTGCTTCTGAGAAGCTTGCAGCATTTGTACTTGCGATTTGTTTGTGTTTCTGGTGCCACGGTTGCACCGTGAGGGGGGTAGTGTCTTGCTATTTCTCTCAAACTGTCAACTGCCATTGCAATGTACTGCAGACAGTACTGATCAAAGCTAACTGCGAGCACCGATGAGTACACAATCTCAGCAGAGCCAGGGGGGAATCTAAACTATAGCTGCACTAACAGAAACTAAACTGTAGCTCTAACCATCTATAATACTGCTGTAACCGTGTATAATAGAGCTGTCACTGAGCCAGTGGGGCAACTACTATGTCAAAGACTTGACAATCCACACAGACCCTATATACACCAACAGGCTACGCACAGCTAAACTGGTGACTGAGTGAGTTTAGAGCGGCTGAAAAGCCTTAAGTCTGAGAGGTCAGTGGTTCACACAGCAACGTGGTGTGTGGGGAGGAATGGCAACGTGATGCGTAGTCCATTGTGCCATAACTCCCAGCCGGCCAGACAAGTCTCCAGGTCACTTACAGTAAGCAACAGGCTCTGGCTAGCAACAATCACAACATTAGTTACACAGACGACCACTAAAAACGTGTTGCTTCTGCTAAAATTTTGATGAGCATAACATTTTGCAGTATCAGACTCACCGACGTTCAGAAGGAAAAAACATTTTTGTTCCCAACCACAATCGTTCACACAACACAAGTCTACGGTTAACCACCATATTCTGCTTATAAGTTTGCATGGTGAATCGAGGCCATAGCCATAGCCATACTTAATCCAATACTTAAGATGTGTACATGTACATACCCACCTATTAGTGAGTCACTGTCTGCATCTTGGTCCTCTTTGAGTTTGGAGAGCTGAGTCTTGACTCCTCCTCCGCTGGCAGCCGTCTTCCTCCTCTGAGAGGAGAGTGGGTGAGGTTGGTCCTCCATTGGAGACATCACCTGCTGACCCCAGGGAAAAGATAGAGAGAATAAACGAGGCCGAGCTCCGCTACTAGCCTGAGAACGGAAATACACTCACAGGTTTACTTATGTGTGCTGGGGTGAAGCTGCAATGGCTCAGCTGCTATAGACTACACTGTATGCAGGTTTTCCTTATGTGTCTGTGTACACATGTTCTGGGCTGAGGCTGCAATACTAGGAACTGAACTCAGCTGCTACAGAAAGCCTCATAATGGCTATAGCCATATAGCATGGCAATTCCCACCGGGACTATTATTTTTTCCTTGGGGTGTCCTGTGTGTCGTTGCTTTGCCTTGACACCTCGCATGCAGACAGACAGACAGACAGACAGGGGCACATCAAGACCAAGTGTTTTGGCTGGACATGCTCCTGCAGCGACAGACAGACACTGGATTCTCCACCTTCCCGCTGGTGGTGGTGGGAGGGTCATGCAGGTCCCTGTGGGGGACGTCGGGGGAGTGGGAGGGGCTTGGGGCAGCGGGCGCGACAGACGACCGGATACCCTCCCTCAGCTCCACCACTGAGTAGTGCGGTCTGCCTCCTCCCGGAGTCTCTGGCTCCTGACATGCATAGGATCACATGTGTGTGGGTACAGGTGGGGGCACACATCATACACATGCACTATACTGTAGAGCGCCGTGGGTTCGAGTCCCGCCCGCCCAGGGAGGCCATTCTATATTCCTATAAAAAAAACGTGTTGTCCTGGGTGTCATCGAGCTTTGCTGGAAAACTATCCAGTGAGAGAAATGTAAAGTTTCCTCATCTCTGAAAATGTTTCTCTGGAAGCTGTATAATTATTAGTACGTTTGAATCACGATAGTATAAGTGTACCGCGTGTGAGTGTGTGTTGTGTGTGAATTGTAATAATAACACCAGAGACGACATACCTTGGCCAATACGAGGGTAAAACCCTCAAGAGATAGCTTTCTCTTTGTGAGTGAGGTCATCAGTCCCAGTTGAATACTGCTCAGCATGTCTCCTCTGGACACCCTCACCTTCACCTCTCTACCAGGAGGTGGAGAGAAAAAAAACCACGGGGAGTAAGAGGAGAGGAAAAAGAAGGGAGTATGAAACACGATGAGCCTTTGTTGTGTGAGACACAAAGTTGCATGCAACTTAAAGGTCCACGCCACATGATGCACCCAATACATACATAGTCTATTTGATACAACTTTGTTGCATGGACCCATCATGCCCATACATTTGAAGTTTGTGTCCCACGCAACAATCTGTATCGTGCAATGAAGTGGGGTTTGTGTTTTGGACTGCATTATGTACCTCTTGAATCTGACGGGTTCATTGACAATTTCCATGACAAGATCAGCCGCCACTGTAAGGTACTGCTGTTTGTTGGCTGAAGAACAGAGAGAGTGATTGAAGCTGAAGTGTTACAGTTCTCACTGAAAGTGCAATATCTTACAAGTATGTATATACAGAACGATGTGCTGTATTCTGTACTGTTAGGTTTCTCTAAAGTTTTCACGTACATTTTGGTGTGTCCTCGTTGAGAGAAGATAGAAACGGGACTCCGATGTCCCAGTACCCTGACACCACGTAGCTCCCATTGTTGCCATTCTTCCCATTCTACAGTGGGAGAGCGATGTGGGGAGCTGAAATCTTCAATCCAAAACAGAATACATATACAAAACCAGCAAGTTCCACTGCTCTTGCATGGAGAAGATACAGTGGGGGTTCATAAACCTCTTCTACCCTTAGAAACATGCCAAGACAACAGAAATAGTATAAATTTGCTGTCTCCAGCTTGCGTGCTATGTCAAAAGATTTATGTTTTGTACATCTATTTTCAGGCCCTCTATGACCATGATTCTACCCCAAGCTCTAGTGATGAAGCACATGCAACATTAACAATATGTATATACATACACTGCACGGACCATCTTAATTTTCAGACATAAATATTGAACTCTGCTGCTGATAAACATACACAACACTGGGCCATACCATGTTGTCCAGAAGGTTCATCTGTGAATGGACCAGGTCTTTTCCGGGAGAGAGCAGCATTCCGAAACACCTGCACACCGTGGAAGAGAGAGACACTGCTGTACTAGCACCCCCGTGAGGTTTGGCTGTTTGCTTTTGCCACACACATACACACACACAATGTCTTTTATCCACTTTCGCGGCACACTACAAAGCATTAATTAAGTGTTTGCTGATAGAACATAAAGGGAAGGTTTTAAAAATGCTTTTCACACGAAATTGTTTTACGTGTAGAATAACACGTTACTGAGTAAGAGTTGAGGTGACTTTTGTGTATGTATGGGTTTGGGTACACACGGTCTATGGTGTCTTATAGTACTATGGATGCTAATGGTCACATGACACACTGCTGAGCAAGAGTTGAGGTGACTTGTGTGTATGTATGGGTCTGGGTACACACGGTCTATGGTGTCTTATAGTACTATGGATGCTAATGGTCACATGACACACTGCTGAGCAAGAGTTAAAGTAACCTCTGTATGTTGAGGGGAGCCGGGTTGTTTGGGGAAGGGAGTATCGTCATGGTAACTTTCTTTCTGGTGTTCTGCCGCAGTCGGAAACAGTCCTTGTCGACTGTGACGTGATTGAAGTTCCCTGCAGAGGTTGACACGATAAGGAAAGGTTTGAGCAAGATAGCGGGGAAAGATGAGAGGTCGGTATGTTAAGGGAGGTTGGGCAAACATCGCAGCGGTATATGTGTAAAGGCCCTACACCGCTGAAGGAGTTACCTTTCCCGTCATCCTCCAGTATCTCCACTCCAATGTCCACCTCGTAGAACAGTTCATCAGGAGTGGGAGAGTGAGTCAGATCAGACTGAAATGAGGGGGAGAGAGGGAGGGAGGGAGGGAGGGAGGGAGGGAGAGTGAGAGATGAACCATACCTTACATTTTGTGATTACTACATCAAGTTTCAGTACATTGGTGTTGGTTTAGTACAGTAAAACGGTACTATTGCTCAGTGTGGGCTCAATGGGTTCAAACATAGCGGGGCTTCCAAACACACATACGTAGCCAATGCATCCATGTTGTAGAGGTGTCCTTTACTTGTAGGCACTAAAACATTAGTATTGGAAATTCACATTTCAGCTTCATAGAGAGGTGTTCATTATTCAGAGTGTCTATTACAGGAGGTTCCACTGTACAGAGGTTGTACACATCATTGACAGAATATTATAATTATGTTAGCAAAACCACAATCACATGGTCATAAAAGTTCCCGCTAATGTGTAATGGTGGATTCCTGCAACACATCACCAGCGCTACATACATACTTCAATTATAAGCCACTTTCATAAAGGCACATGCATACACAAACCCTGGCTGGCACACAAAATAGGGTATCCATCCATCACTTACTGTCGTCTTGAAAGCTCTTCCGATGGCCTCAAATATCTTGTGAGTCTGTGAGAACAGGAAACAGACGTTGTAAAACAAGACAGTGACACAAAACTGGGGAAATGCTGCCATATCACTCAACACACGACAAAATTCCCAGATGGTAAGTTTACCAACCCATCCCTCAAAATGTACACATTACTCCATCAGAAATTGCAAGGAAATGCAGGTGTGTGGGTATTATGTTCACATGGCACATCCTTGATGATGCTACATCACTACTAAGGAAAGTAGTACCCAGTATGAATGATATGGGACTACCATATATAGGGAGTTTCTGTTGTATGGCCGAATTTCTCTTTATGCACAAATATACGAGAAATTTGTAATCGTAAGGACTATTTCAAACTGTTGGGGGAATTGTTACATTTTAATGCATCCCCGATGCATACGAAGGTTCTTAAAGAGGGATTATGCCTTAGTTCTTAATCCAACCGCAGACAGTGTAAGGAAATACACCCCCTCTTATCCGAGAGCTTACCGCCTCCATGATGTCGCAGCGGAAGACGTGACAGTGGTGGGTCCCGCTCCTCTTGTGCCGGACGTTGAAACAGAAGCAGTCCTGGAGAGACTCGTCTCCTCCGCGGACGCAAAACAGAATCATCTTCACGGGGAAAGTGGTGAGGAGTTGGTCCGTCTTGGGGTCCTTGAGGAGTACGCTCCCCTCGTTAGAGATGGGGACGGAGAGGATGATGGGCATAGGGTGGGAGGTGAGGGCCTGTTCGTGGAGAATGTTCATCTTTCGGTTGGCCTCCGTTTCGCTGATCGGGGCATCGACTGTGGACGAACCCAAGTAGAAGACGCCGCTAAATAGGATGCTCATGGTCGGTTGTTCCTCCAGGGGGCTCTCGGTCCCGGGGGGCAGGGGGGAGGGGGTAAGGACGGGAAACGAGGGGGTCAGCCCCCCGGGACGAGTCTCGTCTTCGCTGGAGTGGTACTCGAGTGGGGAGAAGGGGGGAATATCGCCAACATCGGAATCACTGGGTAGTCGTGAGAGAGCGTGTTCCTTTGGTTTTGGTTTCGGGGGAGGTGTCACCGATTCAGCACGCTCCTCAACTGTCGCCTCTGACTGATTCACATCTCTGTCGCTTACTGTTTGAGAATCACCTCTTCTCTTGGGTCACCTCTGGCTGCTCCATCCTCTCCCTTTCCCTCTCCCTCTCTTGAGGCCTTCTCCTCTCTCTCCCTCTCTCCTCCTCCATCTCTCAAACTCCCACCTTTTACAGTCTCGGCTGTGTCGCAAGAGCCGTTATTACTCTCAGTCACCAGCATCGAAGAAGACACGGTACTGCGATTCTCGTCCAACTTTTGACGATCTTCCTCACGAGCAGGGTTCACCTCCGACCCAGCCACAGCAGTAGTCAGAGGGGCAGCTGTAAATGAGCCAGAGGTCTCCAAGTTCTGAGGAGATATGGAGCCGGCAAGACTTGATTCACTGCTCAGATCCTCCACAAAGACCAGCCGGTACGGCGAAGTCCCCGTTTTATTTTCTCCCGGCACAACCGCTGCAGACGACAATTGACGATCCTTGTCTTTGTCAGTTGAGGGATCGTTGGTAGTTGTATCAGCGTGTGTAGCGTCCTCGGTTGCTGGTGCACTATTGCAGCTCACACCCTCCCTCACCTTCCCCACTCCCCACCTCTCCCCCAGTCTCACCACCATCCCCTGTCATCATCGCCTCATCAGACATGACCTAAACACTATACATACATATATACAGAGACCAGTGCCAATACTGCTTACGCCGTAAATATTACGGTCGCTAATATTTAGTGGTCATAACTTTTAGTACGTTGGTTATTACGTGATCTAGCTAACCATGATATAAGACAGATTTCAACTTCAAGAGTGGCCACCAACTCTATTTAAGGCCTCTGACACATGCATACATATTTAGCGCTGAGGCCTGACTGTAAGGGTTTCAGATCAAACCAATAGCTCCAGTTAGCAATAACACAGTGTCCAGTGCTAGCTACAATAGACATCTTAGCACTTCATTCAGGGATACTTTGCAACTTGACTGTCTCCTTGGCAGTGTACACAGAGTAGCCATAGAGCCCCAGGCAACTCCCCCAAGTCTACCACAGTAGATATTGGCCACGACATTGGGTCGACAAACACCCTCAAACCTCTATATAGAAGTTTACCAGTACATATGTACTTATATAGAAGTTTACCAGTACATGTATGTACACTTACACAACTACAGTGCTCTTAGATCTCATGCAACACCTTACTCCTTGCACAGCGAGCACATACACACTCACACACACACCTTGCAAACAATACTTCGGTCAATAGTGCCAATACTATGAAATTCAGCAGGACAAGAGTGCACCGAGAGCAAATTGAGCAACAACAGCTGAGAAGGCTAAGGCTGAGTAACAGTGCACCCAACACTTGTGCAAACAGTAAGAGCTGCTGTGAGGAGTGCAGTTGTGTATTCATCCCACGGATGCAACTGCACGACGTGCAAGTTCTGCAAGCTTCTCTTTCGCGTATGCTTCTTCATCTATTACACACCCACATCCCCAGGAAAGATATACATACCGCTTCTAGCAGAACTGGGACATATGTATAGTGTGCAGATGGTACCAACTATCAAGCTAAGCACAAATTCAATGAGCCAGCGTTATTATATACCCACAGTGAAACATGAAGGAAAGAATATTGCTGATAGAAGAGAACGAGTAGCTATACTCTACGACAGGCGTACTGCTGCTTGCCTTGTTGAAGTGCACTAAATAGAATGCAAGGGCGTAGCAAACAGCTAGCTATATACAGCTAATCTGTAGGTGTAGATCGCCACTAAGCGTACTTAGGCATAACTCACGCAGGACTTCTGTCCGTTCAGCAAGAAATTGAGGACCGAAGTTAAACTGCAGATAAAACGTCAGACTTTCTTTCTAGAGCTCTTTCCTGGACTGCGTGTCGGCTAGACTGCCACCGCGTGAAGTCGTACGTAGTAGTCCCGAGCGCCCCTGCAAATTAATTTGTTAAGCGCGCACTTATTAGCACTTACTACTATTTTTGCGCTTACCGGACAAGATGGCTCAACCAAAAGGAGTGCATTTGGAAACTTCCATGGTATATCTAGCTAACACCACAAATTATGCGGCCTTATATATGACGGTGCTGTTTCTAAGGGGGAAGTTGCAGTTGAGCTGTACTGGAAACATGCTCCCAAAACATGCAGAAACTTTGCTGAGCTGGTACTGCGCCCCAAACTGTGTGTACTTCAGTTTCATTTCTCCTATATACCCCCCACAGGCGCGGAGTGGGTACTACAATAACTGCAAGTTCCACCGCATCATAAAGGTCAGTCAGTTTTCCACTCTCAGGCAATCACCACCGGCAACCCTTGTTTTTCCCCCCAGGAATTCATGATCCAGGGAGGAGACCCAACCGGCACTGGCAGAGGAGGATCATCCATTTATGGGTATACTATTACATAACCCATTATAGCTACTCTTAAGTTCTTTACCGAAACCAATAGCATTTGTGATATCGACTGACACCATTTGGTTACTTGTTTGATCTAGGGGGCAGTTTGAGGACGAACTATCGGAAGATTTGAAACACACAGGTGCTGGCATCATATCCATGGCCAACAGGTCCTACAATGAATCGGTGTCTAGATGTGTGCTAATGTTTTAACTCTATGCAGTGGGCCCAACTCGAACGGGAGTCAGTTCTTTTTAACCCTAGCCCCTACACAATGGCTTGATGGTAAGATCTGTCAGGATTACAGTGGAACCTTCGATAAAGGACCCCCCGAGATAAGGATGACCTATCTATATACAAGGGGCCAAATCGTTTGCCCCATAGTAGACATAGTTTCCCTTGTCCACTGTACTTTCATGCTAACTTGCTATGCTAACCCACCCCCCTCTTCCTTTCTCTCTACTCCATTAAGGTAAACACACCATCTTTGGCCGGGTGTGTGCTGGGATAGCTGTCGTCAAACAGATAGGAATGGTGGAGACTGACTCAGCGGATAGGTATAATAATAATCTAAACACTGCACTACCAATGTAGCTTAAATATCTGTTTTTTCTGCAGGCCTGTGGAGAATATAGTCATTCTAAGAGCATATCCAGTGGACTGAACCATTATTTTTTGCATCACATTTTTTGCATGCATCTATGAGAGTAGGCGGGGCGAAACGCCACGTGGTTTGCTGAATCAGCATAATTTTACTTCCTCTCGTTGCGGATCAAGGAGGCAGGCATGGCTCTTCACTCGGGCTACCAGCACGAGGTGCTGCGTCAGTGGCAGTCCTCGAGCTGCAGTCGCCTCTCTGCGTACTCTTTCATCTATCCCATCTTCGTCACGTACGTAGCCCGGTGCGATCCGTTGCCGTCATTATCTGCTGAGCTATTTTTCATCCAGAGACGACCCTGAGGCAGATGAAGAGATAGTGAGTCTACCTGGACAGAAGAGGTGAACCGGTTCAGAACTGTAGGAACAACTTGGCTATCTACGAAACGTCTCTTCGTTGTAGATACGGTGTGAACAAGCTGGAACAAGCCCTCAGGCCTCTGGTGGATAAAGGCCTCATGTCGGTCCTCATATTCGGAGTCCCTCGCTCAGCAAAGAAAGCAAGTGGCTGTACTCCACAACATTAATCTAGTTTACTAGCTAGCATTAGTATATCATGATTGCAATGTTGCTGTAGACTTGCACAGGAACCTGCCATCTTCTAGCACACCTTGTTCTTGCACTTGGTAAACTACAGCACCATAATTTTTTAGCATTGCAGTGTGTTAGATATCTGCCAAGTTTGCTCCGTAAATGAATTTTGCAACCAGAAGTTTTCTCTTTAGGAAATTTGTCTTTGCAAAACACATAGAGGGTCCTATAATGGTGTGTGTTGTGATGTGTGCAGGATGGAAGGGGTTCACCAGCAGATGCAGGAGACAACCCAGCCATCTTGGCCGTCCAGAGGCTGCGAGAGGTGTTCCCTGGACTCCTGCTGGTCTGCGATGTCTGTCTGTGTCCCTACACTGACCACGGACACTGCGGTGAGCAGCACGAGATACTCCCACCAGGAACATTCAACAACTTGTTGAATCTAGGTTGTCTGTTGGTTTTGGAGGCCCTTAATTTTTTTATATATGCTGCATGGAAATATTTTTTCGCAAATCACAGTTACTCATGCCTGGAGAGGGCTTTTTCACGTTGCTATTGAGACTGTCCTTGAAAAACTGTGTCTTTGTATATCGTAGGTATACTAAATGAAGATGGGTCAATAAACAATGCCCCGAGTATCAAGAGGCTTGCAGAAGTGGCTGTGGCATATGCTAGAGCTGGTAGGACAAACAGAGTTGTGTGTATATATCTCTATGAAGAACATAGAAATGAGAAATGGAGTTGTGTTTATTCTTGTAAGGTTGTCACGTGGTGGCTCCGTCGGATATGATGGACAACAGAGTGGCAGCCATAAAGACTGGTCTGTTAGAGGCTGGACTGGGAGGAAAGGCAAGTGTTACGTTTGCACGATAATGTGTATTGTGGTTATGAGAAGATTATTCTGCAGGTTGCAGTCATGAGCTACAGTGCAAAGTTTGCGTCAACTTTTTACGGACCTTTCAGGTGTCTTGCTTGTTTACGTGCGTGGCAACCTTGCGTACTATATATAGCCGATAGCTTTGACCTCAAGACAATGGAGAAATCATCCCACACGTGGGCTCTACAACATTGCACGTGAAATGCGGGGTTTAAACACAAGGCAAGTGCATATCGACGACAGTTGGAACCACACAAAAGGGATGGGACTGTAGCCATCAGGCAGGGCTAGGGCTAGGCGAACCCACATACTAGCACACATACACACCACACATTAGTCTAGTATACTGTGTTGATGTTGATCACAGGGATGCGGCTCAGTCGGCCCCAGCATTTGGTGATCGTCGGTGCTACCAGTTGCCTCCTGGCTCACGAGGTCTCGCCATCAGAGCTGTGGTATAAATAGTACAAGTATACAGTGCTTGACTTCAACACTATGTCACGATTCTCTGCGTGGATGTGTATAGGATCGAGATGTGTGTGAAGGGGCTGACATACTGATGGTGAAACCAGGCATGCCGTACCTGGATATAGTCAGAGACGTCAAGAACAAAGTTAAACTCGCCTACTAGACCTGTATTAACCACACTAACATACAGTGAAACCTCTGAAAAGGACCCTCTGCATAAAGGACACCACCTCTCTATATAAAAAGACACTTTGTTCTCCTCCATGCTAGTATACTATGAAATTAGGGCCTCTGACACTTTCAATGTTCCCAAGGTGTCCCTTATTCAGAGGTGTCACGTGTCCCTTACTCAGAAGTTTCGCTGTAATTTCCTCCGCAGTATCCACACCACCCCCTGGCCATATATCAGGTAGGACTCCACTCTTCCAGGTGTATCACGTGATGCATGACTCCACCAGGTGTCTGGGGAGTATGCTATGCTCTATCATGGCAGCAAGGCTGGGGCCTTTGACTTGAAGACAGTTGTACTGGAAAGCATCACATCCATGAGAAGGGCTGGTAGGTGACTTACATTTTTACCCATTTGCATAGTCACAGTGTATACTCCATCACTTATAAAGGTGCAGAGATCATCATCTCATACTACACTCCGAGTATCTTGGATTGGCTCAAGGAGTAGTGCTCGCTTCTGCTATCATGTTTCTTCTTGCGTCTATTGCTTTTTTACGCATGCGCGTTGTATGGTAGCTCCACCCCCTTTATCTGCAGAGCGATTTCGTTTTATTTTACGCATGCGCAGCCCTTATTACTAAACCGGTCCGACGGAAGACTAGACTAGACACTTTGCAACTTTAAGGGACCAGCTCGCTTCCACATCTTGACGGGGAAAAGTGGAGACATGTCTAAGCAGCACCAAGGTAAGTTGGGTAGACGTTCAAATGTGGGCCCGATTGCGTGGGGATTTCAATGTCGTGTCTTACAAGGCGGTGGGGCTTCGTAATGGTATAAACCTGCGTATGATCGACACATTCTGCCTTTTCGGTGGCTCGTGCAGCCTGATGGCTGCCAGAATGGAGGTGTGATAACTGTTCCGGACAAACTATCGACCTCGTGAATATCCTCAACTTGTTTGTATAAGTCGGTAGACGGACCATGACGCCGTTGGTGCTTACTTCGAGTGATGCCTTTGTTTCTTTTGCAACTTTGGTTGTCTTTACCGTAATTCCTTGCCTTGTCTTTAGATCAAGCCTGCAACCCACTTATTTCTACAAGATAGTTAATCAGTGGTCTTGCTCCCCGCATTACAAGCATGATATTACACTACTAGAACCATTAACGATGACATATTTTTAGGCGAGCATCATTTCCTGTCCTTAATAGCTCAACTATGTAATATCTCTTGGTTTGGTCGACCCTAAGTTTTGCAGAAATGTACTGTTGTGTGTTTGTGGATGGACGATGCCTTTGAAAAGATGACTTGCATGATAAGGGAGTTGACTGGGCAGAACACAGGCAGTGTCCCGTGTGAACTTGAACACTGGTTGGGACCTGCCCCCTGCTGTAATTCTAGAAGGTCCACTGTATAAACACGAAGACCTATGGTCATGATTGGGGGGGTCCCTCACTGAGGTTGGCATTGACCCAGTGCATCGATCTAGTGCAGCGATGTTTGTGGTTGTCTCCAATCTAGCTCTCATTTCACTGGTATGCTAGAGTTTTTCGCATACCTATAGCAATGTTTTTTTAACCTGGCATACTTTCACAGGCTGGCCATGCATTGGAGTAAGTGTACAGTGTGACCTTATTTGGTTCGTCAAAAGCCCTATTATTACTCTAATGGCTCCTCGATTGCCCAACTAGTTGGCTTCACAGCTAGGTCAAATAGGGTATATATGCTAATGATGCCCCTATTGAGTGTGTGTATGTGTGGGCTGGCTGCAGATATCCTAAACAGGAAGCATATGTTGTCTGCTGTTGTGTGGCACACCCTAGAATAGGCCACTCTGAATAGGTCTCAACACACCCTCTGCTTGCAAACACACCTGCCACTCCGCAAATTTCCCTTTTTTGGACCTCTATGAGGGGCGGGAATCCTCTGAGGTGCACATGAGCTGTCATTAGCACCAGTCTCTCTGCCTGTCAGAAACATGTCACCAACTTGCTTCCTTTTGTATATAGTGTGGAATGTCCCACTCTCCTCTGTTGAGGTTGAAGTGACAAAGTTTTCACTTCAACTTTGTTGCAATCACCTTAACCCACACAGCAGGATGGGTAACACCACATGCAAGTCATTACATGGAACTTGCAGGCATTGTGCTAGCTTTAAAGCCAGGACACCACAAACACAAATTGAGGCTTCGTGCATTAAGAATACGGTAGTTCTGTGTGATGAAATATAACAATCGCGACTTGCGTGTATGCTGCAGGAGGAAAGGCTTTTGGCCAGCTGAAGAAAGATCAAGAGACCGCCCTGGACGAGATGAACCGGGTATGACACACACTAATCATAGTAACACATGTGTCTGACTGGACTTGGTAAAACAAAGCTGTTATGTGCAGTAGCAAAGAATATTGTACTTACAAAGGGTGTCGGCTTAAAACCAAGGGTTACTACATTATAGCTCATTATGGCCAGGGACACTTTGTCACTCGGCCAAGAACTTCAAAGTCAAAAAGTGGGAGGTGATGTCATTCTAGGGCCCTTTACTACTTAATCACATAGAGCTACTTGAGTAGTGGAGACTACGATGACGTGGAGGACTTGGAGGACAAGCTGGAATCATACAAGAGTGAGTTCTGTGTGTTTCACCTCAGTACTGATAGCCTTTCTTTCACATGCTGTTTTTCTTTAGGACAATTTATGGAGTTCGATGAAAACAACTCTGGGGATATTGGTAAGCTCTAAAAAATGTTGTGTGTTTATTAATAGTTGCAGGGGAGGGGAATTTTTTTTGGCTGCTTTCTTCATTGTGTTTGTGTTTTCATAGATATCATGGAGTTGAAGAGGATGATGGAAAAGCTGGGCCAGGCCAAGACTCACTTGGAGCTCAAGAAGATGATCGCGGAAGTTGACACTAACAACTCAGGTGGAGCTAGCCAGCCAGACACTACAACACACACACACACTCACTCACACTCAGACACTCACACGTGCATTTTCTAGAAAAGATTGTGAGTTAGTTCTCTGTGTGTTTGGCTACAGGTACAATCCACTACAACGAGTTCCTAGACATGATGCTGGGGAAGAAATCCACTGTCCTAAAACTGTAAGCACACAAACACATTTACAGTGTAATCCCTTTCAATGTCCCCAGGGTGTCCCTTGTCCAGAGGTTTCACTGTAATATACCTATATAAAAGGGATATATGGGCCACTTTCAGTTTAGTTTTTATATAAAGCTTTTCAGTTGCCCTAATACTGACACCTCCACAGAAAACCTCACACACATATTAGTGTATTGCAAGTATATGTGCACTCCAGAATTCCCTCTTTAGAATTTTATCACGGTACTATAGCTACATAACGGGATGCACCACTTTCGGTTTTGTTTTGAGAAGTTGCCATAACGCTGACACCTCCCACAGAATTCTGCTGTTTGAGGAGATGAAGAAGGCAAAGGCGGTGCCAAAGGGTCACCCGCCCAAGAAAGTCCTGACCGACCTTCCATGAACACACCTGCTCCAGCTGGTCACACAATAGTCTATTGAGTTGAGCTTGTTTTATATCACGTCTGTTTAGTTTTCGCAAAGTTTGTTTTTTTTGCTACTCCACTAGATTTTTATTTTCGTTTTCTGGGTGCGAGAACTGGAAGGATAAAAATGGTGGCATATTTAAAGCATGGCTCAAATGTAGATTATGTGTGAGGACGCGTAATACTGGTTGAGATGGTGGACCACTGCGTAACCGGATTTGTAGTTTTCCGAGGGTTTTTTAAAACTATACTTTGCTTATAATAGGCAGGCAATGGGTACACAGATGGAAAATGATACGGCCTGGCAATGAAGTTGTGATGGCTAGTCCACAATTCAAAGTCAAAATTTGCGAGTTGGTGCAAGACGTGCATAGCGTAGCTTAGTCCCACCAGAAGCTGACGGAGAAGCTGATATCAATTGATCTGACGTAGTGCCAGCATCGGGGTGGGATGTAGAGAGTCTGTCCAGGGTGTAGGAGGAACTCCCTGGCCTCAGCCCTCGAGAACTCTGGGTACTTTGTGAGGTCTGGAGACTCCACGTCCACCTGGGCAATTGATTGGACATCAAGTGACACATTACAAATGATTGGAGGTAAAGTGACATTAGAATTGATTGGAGATCAAGTGATGTCATTACAAACGATTGGAGGTCAAGTGATATTACAATTGATTGGAGATCAAGGGACATTAGAAGAGAATTGGAGAGACCAGGTTATGTGTAGGAGTTGTAGCTAGTACATAGCTCAGTGTATAGTGATGGGTTACTGGAGCTTGACTCCTGAAAGAAATTTGTTCTCTGTAAATGAGAATCATTTCTATATGTGTAATGACTATCACAATGACTCAGACTGGTTGATTTTCATGATTTTCATTATTGCATTCCCATATCCGGTATCTTGCCTATATAAGTGTGCGTTCAAATTCCTCATGGCGTAAAATAAAGTTGTCTATTGCACAGAAGAAAGTTTCAATCTATTGCAAGGAAGACATTTTCTTGGGGGATCATTCGAGAGGTGAGACTACTACTTTATATTCAAATCCTACAGGCAATTGTGCCTTTAAATGATGAGATAAAATTGAGGTGGTCACACTCCTTTACAATTTTTTCCTCCCCATCTAATAAAGCTGACCTGACTGGTGTTGGTTAGCAGCCCTGTGAACGGGTAGAGGAGTAGCGACTGGTCCTCACTGTACAGCTTCACATATTTCCTCCCCACCACCTGACAGTGGCGAGAGAGAGAGAGAGAGGTTTGCTAGAATGAACACCAACACATTAGTGGCTAGTGAACACGAGTAAGGAAATACTTAGTACGGACAGCCCCGTCGGCAAAACAAAAAAGTAAGACACACAAGTGGCAGGGCTGGCGCCATGGGGATAGAGTCCTTTAATATCTTCATTTGTCCCCCTCAATATGCTTCCCAGGGGACACTTGTAACTGCTGTCCTGTTACTGGGACCATATACTTGTTGCTAGGGGACGGATATCTCCCAGCCAATCCCTGCTGAGTGGGTTTACTTTGGTTGCTAACAAGAGGTTCCAGACATTGAGTGAAGCACACCTGTGCAAGGAGGTTGTGTTTGGGGTCAAAGTGCAGAGGTGACACTGTCCCAGCCGGACCAAACCAGGCATTGATCTTCACTCTCTCACCAACTTCACTGCCGTCACCAGCCTCACACCCTCCACCTTCACCACTCTCACACACCTCACCACCAGTGACACCCTCCCTGATACAGCAGTAGTCTGGGATCTTGATGTCCTCCTGAAGTTCAGGAATCTGACATCAGAAAAAGAAAAAAATTTCCTCTCCTGTTCCTTTCAGGAAAAGGTGTTGTGTGATCACAAGTTCATTTTACAGTGAAACTTCTGAAAAGTTTGGGCCACTGACAGTGTCCCTTTGAGAAGAAGTGTCCTTTATTCAGAGTATATTTAGTATGGGCAAGTGTCCTTTGTAGAGAGGTATTCGTTACTCCTTCTTCGGAGTAACTACCAAGACGGAGTAGATCCACTAGTAGTCATATTTACAAACGATACATTACCTGCTGGAACAGTAGATGTTGAGCTAAGTATCCCCTCTCGGGGCTCTTCTCCTACAAAACACAAGTTACGTAGAACTGATCTATATACACATTGTGAGAGATGGTTACCACACCTGTTGGAGGATGTGGTGGTCGATAAAGTCGGAGAAGGTCATGAGTTTCTGGGTCCATTCCTTGTCAGTGTAGCGAGATCCGATCTCCACTGGCACCGTTCGAGGTCCTGCCACACGTCTCAGGTACTCTAGACTGAATACAGCATTAGGCATTTAGTACATTACAGTAGCAGGGTTGTAATCACAAAAAAAAGGTTTTCAGTTCAAATAGATGATATATTTTGGTATAATACAGCCACGCGGAGGATCAAAACAAAAATTGCAATTGCAGGGTATGGTTTGGGGCAACATCATCTTCCCATAGCGCAGTGCAGTGTGTGTGTGTGTGTGTGTGTGTGTGTGTTGGTGACCAAAGCGGAAAGAGAGCAGTTAAGCACAGCACGGTGTATGGTGCCACCTCCACTTCCTGGCAGAGTATGCAGGCCATGTGTCGAGGACCCCAGAGATGACCACGGGAGTGTGAGGTATCATGTAGTTCTGACGGAAGACGTCGAGAGGTGGCAGGTAGACGAGAGGAACTCGACACTGAGGGTCGACCAGTGGGACATTGGCTGTCCGCGACACCAGATCGTGAACATTGATCTCAACTCTGGGTTTCTTGTTCTCAACTGGGTCTTCACTGATGGGCCCACCAAGGGGTTTATAATTCCGGAAAACAATCCTTTTACCAGCTTTTGCAGAACTTTTTGATTTTTCATCTCCTGTTGAACCAGTTAAAGATGCCTTACTGTCAGTCCTCATAGTGAGAGTGAGAGACGATGCAAATTTATGCAGAGCTGAGTCAAGAACAGGTGCTCCCAACAGTATTCCTCTGTCCAATATCTCCATGGCTCTCTTAGCCTCTCCACTTCTCGCCTGTCCCAGAGCTTTCAGCAGAGCAGCTGTGGCATACACCTCTCTCCACTCCACGCTCACGTCCTCCCAGTGTCCCATGTTGAGTCTCTCCCAGCTGTAGTCCAGAGCTACCTGGGTCCACTGCCCCGATAGCCCAGTGTTTCCTGCCTGTAGCTCACGCCACGACGCCCGGAGAGCTTTGCAAACACTTGCAGAGGCCGAGGAGTGAAGCTGCCTCTCCAATTCTTCCACATGGTGGCTAATTTGAGCCTCCAATGCAAGGGAGAGAGCCCCAGAGGCACACCAGTGCAAAGCAGCCATGTTGATTGGGGGGCGTGACACCCCCACGCGGTGGGTGCGCAGTAAAAGGAGAAAGAGGACCATGAAGCGTGTGAGCCAAGAAGACGCCCTCAGGCAACATGAAATGGACGTGGAGGCCGAGAAATCGGCTGCGAGACTCAATCTGCTCATAAATTCCGCCGTCTTCGTAGCAATAGTTGGAGCAATCAGGATAGGTAATCTTCCACTGTTATTGGTGTGCCATGTTCATTCAATGTCCCTACAGGGCCTTATGCTTGGAGATATGTAACCAACTTTCTGTGACAGCAGACCACTTTATCAGGGACAAGTGTACATGTATACATAAACTTCACCTTCATTTGTCTATGTCAAACAAGAGCCATTGTACTGTATATACCATGTTTACTGTTGACAAAATGCAACTCATTGTAAGGAGATATTGTGTACAGCATAGACATGTAATGATTTATTGTCTCCTTATTCCTTAGCGTCTGCGATGCCACCGCCGGTAATTGAGAAAGTGGCCTCGCTCTCTGGCATGTCGGGGCTGTCGTATATCTTGGCAATTCTCATCTCGCCCCTCCCCTTTCTCAGACTGATCCTGGTAGTCGAGGCATGAGCAATGATGTTTCCTCCGATGGGTTTCTTGGGGTCGGCCTGAAAACTCATGGTCGCTCCGGGATCGGCCGTCATTTGGTTGGTGATAAACACCGCCACGTTGTACTCCTCGGAAATCTTCTGGAGCCGCGAGAGCATCTGAGCCAGTTTCTGCTGTCGGTCGGCCAGCTCTCCCCGGCCGGAGAAATCCACTCGGAACAGTGCCATGATCGAGTCGACGATTAGGAGCTTGAACACGCCGGGTTCCTCGTGGAACTTTGCCGCCACGCAGTCTAGCAGCTCCATCTGGTGCTCGCTGGTGTAGGCTCTGGCGTACAGGACGTTGTCGAGCATGGCGCCGTGGTCCAAGTTGAATCGGTCTGCAATCTCCTTGAGACGGTCCGGTCTGAACGTGTTCTCGGTGTCAATGAACACGACTTTGCCTCCCGAGTACCCGTTCTTCCCGGGGAGCTGTGTGGTGACGCACAGAGTGTGCGAGAGCTGGGTCTTCCCGGTTCTGAATTCACCAAAAACCTCTGTGATGGCCATGCTCTCCATCCCTCCACCCAGGAGCTTGTCCAGCTCCTCGCTCCCCGACGAGATTCGAAACACCTGCTTCCTCTTGTCGCTGTACTCCAGTGCAGTCTGGAACCCGTTGGTAGTCATTTTACCCGTCGCCTCCTTTATCTTGTCCACCTTTGCCTCGGAGATTCCCTTTATTGCCAGCAGCTTCTTCCTGGTGGTCATCTGGATGCCCTTGATGGTGCATATCCCGGATGACTTTAGCTTCTTGATGTCTGCCACGTTGATGCCGTGGTTCTGTAGAGAGTCAATGTCCTGAAAGAAGGACTCCTCCTCTACACCATCGAGATAGTCTTCCTCTGTCGTCAGCTGCTGATCTCGCTGCATCTCTCTCTCTGCTTCAAAACTGCCGTGTGTTGTACAGAGAGTTGTTTTTGCCTCGGCTGCTGCTGGAGACCACAGTGCGCTATAAAATAAAACTGCTATTTTTCGAAGTTCCCGCGCATTTTATGGGCGCGCACTATCCGTTTTCGGCCGCTGTAATGTACGCATGCGCAGTATAGGTATAAATAAGCGCAGCGCAGCGGCGGATCACAGAGGACCTCGTGCGTTTTTCGCCATTTCTGGTTCTGTGATTTATTCCGTCTCTGCAGCTCTATTTGTCTGCAACAGTCCTTTTCAGCGACTATCGACGCAGATCATCTGAGCTTCGAGCGCAGCACTCCAGCGTATCTCTCATCGATCGCGGGGTCGCTGCCTCGAAACAAAATGGCGACCGAGGCCGCGTCTTCCTCGGAGGAAGGCCCGAGCGCCATGGCCGTTGGTCCCCCCACCGACGTGGAGCAGGTCCGCGCCTACATGCTCAGGATCCTCCCCGTCATGCTCGAGGAAGACGTTCTTCCCGACATGTCGACGATGGAATCGGCCGTCAAGGCCGCGGACGCTCGGCTCAAGAAGTTTGCGGAGGATCCGCAGGAGCGGGCGCTGCTGGTGCTTCGGACTCTACCGCCCGAGACAGAAGAGGAGGAAGGTGAGGGGGCCTCGACAGGTGGGGCCACCAGTTTCCGCCCAGCGTACGAAGTCCAGCTTGGGTTGAACTACAAACCGACTCGATGCATCGGCGTGGCGTTCATCAAGAGGGGAGCGATTCTCGAGGCCGACAAATCAGTCCGCTTGCAACTGAGAGTAATGAACTTTAGCGAGGACTCTCCTTTTGTGACGTTTCACTCTTATGTGAGGGACGTAGTGACCCCTTATTTCAACTCCTACGTCCAGTCAACCAAGAAGGCCACGTAAGACATATAAGAGCATTATTTGTGCATCTGTGTGTGCCTATGTAGCAGTTCTTTGGAAAATCGAGAAGAAGCAGTGTTTGTTACTGGGAGGATTTGGGTGTGTAGTAAAGTGAAGCCTCTAAATATTCAGGAAACCATTCCAATGGGAATCCAACCACATCCACACTACTCAATTTAATGCCCACTACACCAGTCCATTTAGTGCCCACCACCTTCCCCACATGTCTATTCATTTTGCTGCAGTGAGGGAGACAAGTTGGTGCCGTCGGTACAGAAGAAGATGAACGAACTGGAAGTTGGTCTGCTCCACCTCCAGCAGAACATAGACATTCCAGAGATCTCGCTCACCATCCATTCCACTATCTCCGCCTCTGTCAAGAAGGCCGCAGAGGCCGGGAAGAAGTCAACCGTGGAAGAGTTGGGCCCCCTCCTTTCAGACTCGTCATTCCTGAACGCTCTCCAGAAGGACGTTAGTCGGTGGATCAGAGAGATTCAGAAGGTGTGTGGTTGTGTAGCTGTAGTGTATGTTTGAGGCTGCAATGCAAGGTACAGTTTTGAACAAGGCTACTGAACACAGTGCATTATGTGGTACAGTTTTGAACAGGGCTACTGAACACAGTGCATTATGTGGTCATGTTGTGTGTGGTTTTGAAGCCAAATAGACAAGTGTGTGGAATAAGTAGTTATATTTTTGCCTGTAGAACCTTGAACAGGGCTACTGAACAAGTGATTATGTGGTCATGTTGTGTGTGGTTTTGAAGCCAAATAGACAAGTGTGTGGAATAAGTAATTTATACATTTTGCCTGCTCTTTATCATACGAATTTTTACGCCTAAAGCTCCTTAGGTACTCTTTGATTTACTGCCCACCCCCTCCTAATCCTACTAACACATGCACTAACCACCCCACCACCACTACATAGGTGACTCGACTGGAGCGAGATGCCTCGAGTGGCACGGCGCTCCAGGAGACCAGTTTCTGGATGAACCTTGAGCACGCACTGAGCAAGATCCACTCTCGTCGACACAGCCCCGAGGTCCAGCTCACTCTCGACGTGCTCAAGGCCGGGAAGAGGTTCCACGCAACCGTCAGCTTTGATGCAGACACAGGTTAGTGGTGGACTGACGGTCTGAGGCGGGATATGTTTGGTCTACAGCAACACACCAGTAGAATTGTATGAGTGTGTATAAGTACATGAGAACCTCACATTGACATAAATCTGATGCACTGTAAGTACTGTATGTACTAGTTGTGTCCTCTTTCTGCATGACCCACCCAATATTTCCCGTAGACTACTCGTGCAAGTACTTTAAATGGTGCCTTTTCAAGCTTGGTCAAGTGCAAGTCTTATTCGCCCTTGTATACTCCTGTAACAAATTTCCTTTGACGCTCTTTGAGGTTTTAACCGGTTCGTATTATACCTGCTCTTCTCCCCCCAAGGTCTGAAAGAGGCGCAAGACAAGGTGAACGATTACAGCCCACTAATGAAGGATTTCCCTGTCAACGAGCTACTGGCGGCGGGAACACTGGAGACCATCAAACTAGCCGTGGCAGCCGTGTACTCCCACCTCCGTAAGATAAGGACCACCTCCTACCCTGCCCAGAGAGCCATCTACCTGGTGGAGGCCATTTCCAGAGATCTCAATACACAGCTTCTGAAGGTGTGCACACCCTCTTTCTGAACTCTCTCAAAGTGCGTGAAAGAATATATACACTTTTCTCTCTGCAGGTCTTGGGAATGTACAAGCTGATGCTGGTGACATACGAAGAGTTTGAGCAGGTATGCATGCATGTGCTCTGAATGACCGACATAGACAATGTGACCTGGTTGTGCTCCTACGGAACTTATGGTGTGGGATTGAGGTGGTACAATAGCATTTACAATGGTCCATACAAGAAGTTGTGTGCAGAAGACAAAGAACCCATGGCATCCTACACATGAAGAACTGTATAGTAGGACAGACAGAACAAAGCACCAGTGAACCGTGAACGGTGATAATTGTGCATGCTCATTGTCATGGCACGCAGTTCGTCAGTTGCTGGTCAGTTGGCTAGACGACTAGGTGTAGGTTTGCTTGACTCCAGAGAGCTGTAACTATTGCTTGCAGTGTGACCTACAATAGCTCCCCATCCGTTTTCCTTATCCCCCCTCGGTGTGTGTGTGTGAGTGCAAGTTGCAGTGTGTAACACATTGACCTACAATAGCTCCCCATCCGTTTTCCCTATCCCCCCTCGGCGTGTGTGTGTGAGTGCAGGTGATGGGTCAGTGTTTTGGGGTGTTCAACACCTGGGACGAAGAGTACGACAAATTCACTAGTCAGCTGCGGGAAATGAGCAAAAAGAAGAGGGAAGAGACACTCAAGTTCTCCTGGAGAGCCAACTCTGCCCACAAGAGGCTCCAGGAGCGCGTCACCAAGATGATAGAGTGGGTCTTACACAGTGACTCTTGTGTATTGCGATGTGTGTACAGACGTTGACGAAATGTGACAGTATGTAAGAGCTAAATTTAGAAATGTTACTAAAGATGGAACTAAAAAAATAGGCTGAGTGAAAGAAAGATGCAATTAATTTTCCGTGATTAGCAACTTCTTACAATACTCTGGCACATTCAGGGATGACACTGAGTTTCCAGCATTATGCCCCATACAGTCAACGGTTATAGTTTCACTTTCACTAAGGTTGTTTGTATTTGGCAGTTTCCGGAAGCAGCACGAGCAGCTGCAAGCGGTGATTGTCAGAGTGTTGAGGTCTCGACAACAGAAAGGCCAGCCAGCCCAAGTATGTGTGTGTGCCCATGTGTGAATATGATTCAGTACAGTTCCGTCTTCCCCTCGTCAGAGTGGCGAAGGTGCCCTGGAGACAGACGATCAGTCAGCCGTGAAGGGAAGTCAAGTTGGCGTACGAAAACGTCAAGGTCGTAGACTGTCTCGACCTGACTCCCGAGGGGAGTGCCGCGTGGGAGGCAGCCCTGAAGAGATACGACGAGAGAATCGACAGAGTTGAGACCAGGATCGCTGCACGGCTGCGAGACCAGCTCGGGACGGCCAAGAACGCCAACGAAATGTTCCGGATCTTCTCGCGGTACAACGCCCTCTTTGTGAGGGCTCACATCCGCGGGGCCATCCGAGAGTACCAGGCGCAACTTATTCAACGAGTCAAAGACGATATTGAGAAACTCCACCAGAAGTTCAAGGTATATACAGTGTTGTCATAATGGTGTTTGGAGACGCACTACTAGTGGGTATGAATGTGAATCTTCCTTGGTAGGCTTTATTTGGAATTTATCCCCCACCGTGCATATTATGACACAATGATGTAATGTGTGATTGCATTATACAATACAGATGCAGTACAACAAGACGATGACCCACCAGATGTGTGTCCAGTGCGACTATCCTCCAGTCTCCAGTGCAATCATATGGGCCAGACAGGTATATATGACTAATGCATCCAGTGTGCCATCATCTCTCTTGGTAGAGGTAGTGTTCATGGGTGCATATTTATTGGCATGAGTTTGATTTTCTCTATGCACTGAAGGTTTTGCACGCATGAAATGAGCCTTCTGACTTTGTTACTCCCACTCGCCACAGCTGTGTACAATCTTGTGAGTGTTTTTTCTCCTCCTGCCAGATTGATCGTCAGTTACAGACGTACCTCCAGAGGGTCGAGGCAGTTCTGGGGAAAGGTTGGGAGAACCACGTCGAGGGCCAGAAACTGAAACAAGATGGCGACTCTTTCAGACAGAAGCTGAACACGCAGCAGCTGTTTGACGACTGGAAGAAGAAGGTCGAGGCGAGGCAGCTGGTCGTGCAAGGACGCATCTTCAACATCGTCAGTCAGCGCACGAGGACCGGGACGATTCTTAAACTGCAAGTCAACTTCACCCCCGAGACTATCACCCTTGCGAAGGAGGTCTGTTTCTTTCTGCCTTCTTTTCCCCTTCTAGAGCAGTCGAAAAAGTCTCCCGGAAATTCTTTGTCTACTGTACCCCATCTCTCTTTCTTCTCCCCTTTCTCTTTCTCTTTCTCTCTTCTCTCCCCCCTTCTCCGCTACACTCTTCTTGTCGCTCCGTTGTCCTCACTTTCTCTCTCTCTCGTGTGGTGTTTTAGGTTCGAAACTTCAAGTGGCTCAATTTCAGAGTTCCATTCTCCATTGTAAACCAAGCCAACCAGGCCAACCAGCTCTATCCTCATGCAGTCTCTCTCATGGAGTCCATCCGGACGTATGAACTCATGTGCACCAAGGTTTGCCTCTAAACCGAATAGATATCGGATGTCTACCCTTGTAGTACGACAAACGTTTGACGGAGAATTTTTTGTGAATTTTTTTAGAAAATTTTGCGTGGCCATCCATAAGAGTTCTCGGTGAAATGTGCAGGTTTATACAGTGCGGCAAGCCAATCCACAATAAGCCTGGTTGTGTGTGTGCAGACTAGCTGGCTGTACGTGGGTTGTTGTGAACTTGTAGCTTTCTTTGTCCCCAGATCTCTGACAAGAAGGGGGTCATCTGCTCTTGTGGCCCACCTCAAAATTGACGTCCAGGAGCTTGCCCGAGAGGTGTGTGCAGTAACATACGCTCAGCACATATATACACACATACATAATATACCTTCTATTGTTGATTGGGTCAGATACTAGCTAAAGAGGCTCTGTCTTTCCAGGGTTGCCAACTCCTGTGGGAGTCCTACAAACTCGAGGGATTTGTACAGAAGTTCTCCGAGTGCATCTTCAGCTTCCAGGAGAGGGTGAGTCCCACGCCAAACTCGATTCGTTACCGATGACATCATCATTACATCACCACCAGGTTGACGAGGTTCTCCTGTGCAGTCACCAGATAGATGAGTTGGTGGGCTCTCTGGAGACATGCGAGTACAGACAGCCCAAGTTCAGGGAGGTTCTTGACAAGCTGCAGAAGATGATTGACGACCTCAATCTGAGGTCTTACTCAAACCTGAGCCAGTGGGTGGCTGAGCTGGACAGACAGGTTTGTGGGGTTGGTCACGTGATTGTTAGGGGTGGCTGAGCTGGACAGACAGGTTTGTCGGGGTTGGTGATGTGATTGTTGGGGTAGACAAACAGGTTTGTCGGGGTTGGTGACAGGTTCGTTGGGTGTGGTGAGCTGGACAGACAGGTTTTTCAGGGTGGGTAAGCTGGGCATACAGGTTTTTGTACTGTAGTAGTTGTGAGTCACCGTGCGAAGAGATTTAGATGTCTCGATGTTTGTCTGGAGAATGTGTAATGTGGATGTCTAACCCAGTTAGAATCACATTCTGAAATTTTTTTCTCTCACCTCTCTCTCTCTCCTTTCCTCACCTCTCTCCCTCCTCCCTCCTCCCTCTCTGTGTGTGTGCAGGTGGAGGCCAGGTTGATGCGGCGACTGGCCATAGCCATCAGGTCCTGGCAGGACTGTCTGAGAGGGGTCACTGGGGACTCTGCAGTGGACACCATGGACACCACCACCTCCACTCCACAGCTGCCACACAAACTGGGCGGGACACCTGCACTCCAGGCAAGATTTAATACGTCAACCTCCTCAATACTGGTTGAAGGACACTTCAAGAATTCGGGAACACTAGTTTCTAGTTCACTTCACTAGTTTTTCGTAGAAAAAACTTTCATATGTAGCAACCTAGGGTTTTTTTGTTGAAAAAAAAGCCGGAATAGCCTCTGTTTGGTGTAACGTTTTAGTGGCTTATTGTAAATGGAAGTGCTTAGCATTGAAAGCTGCAAGTGGGTGCAAGTGAGGACACTATGTGGTGTTATATAAAGCAATGTAGTGGAAGGATAGCTAACTATACTGTCACCTATTCTTTGTATTGACGGAGTCTCAAGTTTACTCCTCTCTCTCTCTCTCTCTCTCTCTCTCCTGCAGGCCATTCAACACGAGCTCCACATCACCAACCAGATCATGCACCTCCAGCCACCGGTCGAGATGGCTCGCTGTGACCTCATCGCACAGCTCCACAACTGGATCAGCATCGTCACCGCCCTCCCCAGGATACAGAGCTCCTAGATACCAGGTCCATTCCTTCACTCTTCTGCTGGGGGCCTTACACATAAGAGGCTGCCTCCATACAGCTTCCCCACACCTTTTGCTATTCTCTCTCTCTCTCTCTCCTTTCCTATGAAACACCCCCTGACATGACTGCTTTTCTCTCCTTAAAAGAACTCTTGCAAGGAATATGGTGCACAATATATGGACGTTGTGATGTGCATGCATTCAAGGGTACTTTGATAGTCCCTATAGAGTTTTGACCCCAGAAATAAGCTTTACTTTGGTCACTAATAAGGGCACTTTGGTTTGCCCTGTTAGTGTCCAGATTAGAGGGGTTGAAGTGTACCTTCTAATGTTCCCCCCTCCCTCCCTCCCTCCCTCCCTCCCCCCTCTCTCAGGTTGGTCTGGTGGAGCTGAGTCCCACGGAGGCAACCTACCGCTCTCTGCTGGGGAAACTGATGGAACACGACTCGGAGCCGCTGGTGGAGGCATATGGCGCCATCGAAGAGCTTCTGGGCAGTGTCCAGTCATACGTCAAGGTCAGTGTGCTGTGCTAGAATGTAGAGGTAGCAGTGTGCTAAGGTAGGTACAAACGTAGTAACAGTGAAATGAATGTATGTTATGTAATAAAGTAGGTACCTGTGAGCAAATGCGTGCATGAAGGCACTGTGAATGTCTTACGTGAATGTGTAGGTCGCCATGTGTGACGATATCTGAGAAGCTTAGGCGCCAGAGTCAGTTTAGCTGCTCTGAATTATGAAGTGTTGTTGTCGTGGCTTGGAACATAGTGAGATTCGGTGACCCCCTGCTCCCCTCTCCCCCTCCCTCCTGACAGGTGTGGCTGCAGTACCAGAGTCTGTGGGACATGGAGCCAGCCAACATCTATAGCAGGCTGGAGTCCGACCTCACCAAGTGGCAGAAACTTCTCATGGACATCAAGTTAGAGATTCTCTCTCTCTCTCTCTCTCTAATACTTATTGTGCCTTCTGCCATGTGTTGCTAGTCCGACATGAGTAATCCATATGAGGTCTTATTCATCTTTTCTATCTGTTTTCTTCTTTCTCTCTCTCTGTATAGCGTAAGCTGTTGGTGTGTATATACATGTTTGTGTTCTCTGATTTCCAGGAAATCTCGGAAGACGGTGGACACCACGGAGACGATGAAGCAGTTTGGACCCGTGGAGATCCACTACGGTAAAGTCCAGCAGAAGGTGAACCTCAAGTACGACTCCTGGCATCGTGAGATCCTCTCTCGATTCGGCTCCATGCTCGGAGACAACATGCTGGACTTCCACTCCACTGTGGCCAAGGCAAGCCTCCTCATCCTATCTAATATAGTTGTGTGTACTGTGGTGGGGCACAATACATTGGTAAAGGCCGCCCAACTCTGGAATAAGAGTAGATCACTTTATCTTGAAACCATAAGCTTGTACCTATATATAAAGCTCTCTGTGGCAACAGATTTTGTAGTGGACTTGTGTTATATATTTGCGTGACCATTCGCTCTATACGTATCCCATGTTCTTATTTTCACCCATAATTATGGGGGCTAATCTCTTTAATGGTTTTGAGTACACTATCTATCTAGTCTTCTCTTAGTGTGAAGCATATGTAATGATCGATGTTGTATGAACTTTCCTATATAACATTATGTCATAGATGCATCATCCCTCGCAATGCATGTAACCCTAAATGTGCTGTGTGTGTCTTCTCTCTCCCACAGTATCGCTCAGACCTGGAAAGCCACGTCGTGGACGCTGCCACCACCTCGGAGGCCGTCGGGTTCATCACGCTCATGCAGGAGCTCAAGAGGAAGATGCGCTCGTGGGAGCAACAGGTCGAGGTGTTCAGAGCGGGCGAGAAGATCCTGGACCGCCAGCGGTTCCAGTTCCCGAGCAGCTGGGTGTATGTCGACAACGTGGAGGGGGAGTGGGGCGCCTTCAACGAGATCGTGAAGAGGAAGGAGTCCTCTGTACAGACGCAGATCGGGACGCTCCAGATGCAGATCGTCGCCGAGGACCGCTCCGTGGAGCAGAAGACGGCCGAGTTGCTACAGCTCTGGGAGAAGGAGAAACCTGTGCAGGTGAGGAGCATTGGGCCCGACAGGACCTCTGTTTTACACACCAAACTATGCATTGCGATTTTTTAAATTCTTTTGATGTGCTAGAGTGAAGAGTTTCTATTGATGTTTCAGATAGGAGCATTATTACCACACAAAAGCAATTACACCAAACTGATCAAAAGGTGGCTTTGGATGTGCTTTAATATGTAGAGTGAAGAGTTTTTGATGCTGTAATGAGCAGTCTCCCTTGAGCTCAATCTTTCTGTTCCTCACTTAGTGCAGTTAGAGCTTCAACTCTGACCAAATCGTCTCTCTCTGTCGTAACTCAATCTTGTTTTCTCTCTCGTCCCTATCTGCTGTATCCAGGGAGAGCTTCGTCCTGACGACGCAGCCAACCTCCTCACCATCTTCGAGGGCAAGTTCACGCGAATCAAGGAGGACAGGGACAATGTCATCAAGGCCAAAGAGGCTTTGGAACTGGCTGAGCCTGGTCAGACCTTACTCTGTGTATTTTTGCCTTATAATCTCGGCCTAGTCCGTCCACCCTTACTACTGTGTATGTGTGTTAGCGGCTTCGTGCATAGTACTCCTGTGTGTCGTAGCCTAATGCAAGACAAAACTGAGCAGTATTCTCTCAATAGAAAAACGTTAGCCGCTGTGTTTTTCTCAGGGTTATGGTATTGACCCGTTACAGTGGCTTAGAACAGGGAGTAAGAATCGCTGTCATCCCTGCTCTCCCCCCCCACCCCCAACCTGTAGGTCTTGTGTCGGGTAGTGACGAACGCGTGGTGGTGGCACTGGAGGAGCTGACCGACCTGAAGGGGGTGTGGTCGGAGCTGAGCAAGGTCTGGGAGAAGATAGAAGAGATGCGTGAGAAGCCGTGGCTCTCGGTGGCTCCCAGGAAGATCAGGCAGGGTCTCGACGTCCTCGTACAGCAGCTGAGGGGCTTCCCAGCCAGACTGAAGAGCTACGCCTCGTTTGAATACGTCCAAGCCACTCTCAAGGGATACATGAAGGTAGGGAGGGTGTCTTCATAGATGAACCTGTGACTAGAGGACTCGGGGTACCAAAGGTAGCATCTTGCACAAGTGTATGTGTGTGTGTGTTTTTGCTCGAATGACGATTTGTGTCACTGAAGTGTTTGGAATAGCGAGTCCAAGATAAGGGTGTATATTGTCGACTCTGCCTTGTATGAATGCTGGCTACGTGAGTGGAGTTAGTAGTATGCACAGTATGCACAGGTAAGGGAGGACTAGGTCCCCTGTACATGATGATAGAGGGTATGGTGTGTGTGTCTGTGTCTGTAGGTGAATGTGCTGGTGACAGAGCTGAAGTCGGAGGCTCTCAAAGAGAGACACTGGAAACAACTCATGAAGAAACTGCGGGTCTCGTGGCAGCTTCATGACCTCACTCTCGGACAGGTGTGCCCTCTCTCTCCTCCTGTTCCCGACACTCATCCTCCCCCCTCTCCTCCTCCCCCCTCTCCTTCTCCCCACACTCATCCTCCCCTCTCCTCCTCCCCACACTCATCCTCCCCTTGCTCTCATGCAGGTATGGGGAGTGGACCTACAGAAGAATGAGATGATAGTGAAGGACGTCATTCTAGTAGCTCAGGGAGAAATGGCACTGGAAGAGTTCCTCAAACAGGTAAATACCACTCTGCATTGAATTCTGCAAAAAACGGGCAAAAATATTTTGTTGCGTGCATAATAAATATTCAACAGTTGTTGGGTATCTAAGTTTTACGACCTTGCAAGCATGCTCTTTTCCCGCTAACTGTTGATAAAGAGTGTGGCCGACAGTAGGGTGTGGTCATGTAACCATGACTCCCTGGCCCCTCCCCCTGCAGGTCCGGGAGGCGTGGCAGACGTACGAACTGGAGATGATCAACTACCAGAACAAGTGCCGGATCATCCGCGGATGGGACGACCTGTTTACCAAATGCAAGGAGCACCTGAACTCTGTGGCTGCCATGAAACTCTCCCCCTACTACAAGGTACATACATACAGATACACACCAATCTTTGCAGCGTTTCATTGTTTATACTTCACTTATAAAAGAATATTGTGCTTCTATATGCACATAAGGACACAGCACTAAATTGTTGAGCCGCATGCTTTTCGTGTGAAGGTCTTACGGGGTAGTCCACTCCACCTATCATGGAATGAATATCGAACTGTGCTAGTCAGTAGTGAGTGGGGTGTGTGTATAGGTTTTCTGTCTATTACAAAATGGTCGAACTGCAAGCGTGCTAGCCAGTAGTGAGTGGGGATGCCTATTACAAAAAGGCATGGTTAAGTCTCATCACACTCTAGTATAGTCAATGATGTGGCGACTGCAGGTGTTTGAAGACGACGCGCTCCAGTGGGAGGAGAGACTCAACAGAATCAACACCCTTTTTGACGTCTGGATAGACGTCCAGCGTCGCTGGGTCTACCTGGAGGGAATCTTCACGGGGAGCGCCGACATCAAGCACCTCCTCCCCAACGAGACGCAGCGATTCCAGAGCATCAGCTCGGAGTTCATGGCGCTCATGAAGAAGGTGGCCAAGTCCCCGCTGGTGATGGACGTGCTCAACATCCCCGGGGTCCAGAAGAGTCTGGAGAGGCTGGCAGACCTACTGGGGAAGATCCAGAAGGCTCTCGGAGAGTATCTGGAGAGAGAGAGGGCCTCCTTCCCTCGGTTAGCTCTATGTTGCAGCAAATGAAAATATCAGAGGAAAACTTTCATGGATTGCTAGTCACCTTATACAAACAACCCGTCCATAAATTTCGCGGAGTGTTGCGCTTCATCCCCATATGTGGTATACGCGCACACCTTGTCCCTCAGTGTGGTACAGTGTGGTAAATGGTACTTTAGAATAGAGTTTCAGTTTCTGTATTAAGCACTGGTGCAATCAGACAAGTCATGCAAAAATGGAAGTTTGTTTTTATTTCCGCGTTCTCTGTTTCAGATTCTACTTTGTCGGAGACGAGGATCTTCTCGAGATCATTGGCAACAGCAAGAACGTCCCTCGACTCCAGAAACATTTCAAGAAGATGTTTGCTGGCGTCCACTCTGTCATTCTCAGCGACGACCAGACTAAAGTGCTCGGCATCTCGGCCAAAGAGGGAGAGCAGGTAATTTTACACATCTCTTCTCTACTCCCTCTGACGACCTATAACCTCAAAGCGCTCGACAAATAGCTACTCCCTCATACATCCTATCCCCTCCTTTCCTCTCCTCCTCTCCTCCTCGCATCGCCCCTCCTTCCTCTCCTCCCTCTCCCTCCCCTCTCCCTCTCCCTCCTCCTGCTTCCTCTCCCTCTCTTTCTCTTGCCCTGCCGTTTTTTCATGTACAGTGTTGGTTGGTGCAAATCATATGCAGTACACTTTATGATCTTTTGTGTTTGAAACCAGATATTTGTTGCATTGATTTTTTCACTCATGACCATATATCTTGCGTTGCTGCCATAACTCTTACGTTGCTGGATGTTGTATATAGCATTGTGTATGCTTAGTTGCAGGCCCCTTATTTAGCTTCTCGTCCCTCTCTCTCCATCATCCTGCAGGTGATGTTCAAGACGTCGGTGTCCATTGTAGACAACCCTAAGATCAACCAGTGGCTGTCCATGGTCGAGAAAGAGATGAGACTCAATCTGGCCATGCTCCTAGCTCAAGCAGTCGACGGGATCAGCAAGTTCAGCAAGGGGACCATCAACACGGAGCAGTACCTCCAGTGGGTGGATAGCTATCAGGCACAGCTTGTGGTGCTGGCCAGCCAGGTCACCTGGTCCACCAACGTGGAGTCTGCTCTCCAGACGCTGCAGGCACAGGCGTCCCCCGGGGAGATGGCACCGATGAACGAGGTTCTCGGGGTGATTGAAGGGACGCTGAACGTGTTGGCCGACTGTGTGCTGCATGAGCAGCCGCCGGTCAGGAGGAAGAAACTGGAACATCTGGTGAGTTGAGGACACAAAACCGCACATCAAAGTTTAGAAGACTTCCAGTATGATACCGTACAGCGGGAAACTCACGGAGGGGAAATTTCACTAATTTGAGCACACAATGTATGGTTCCTGCCCACGAAATTGGCTCCAACTACAAAGTTCACGAAATTCGTATCCCTTGAATGTGTCGTACGTAAAATCGCCCAAACAGCAAACAGTATCGCTCCGAAGTAACTCGGTAGTATAGTGTGGTTTATATCCACTAGAATATTATTGTTCAGGATTTTCATCTCTTCTCTCTCCTCTCCACTCCCCCAAAGATCACGGAGCTGGTCCACCAGAGAGACACCACGCGGATGCTCATAACCGACAAGGTCGCCCACACCCGCCGCTTCGAGTGGCTCTCGCAGATGAGGTTCTACTTTGACCCCAAGAAAACGGACGTCCTCCAGCAACTGTCCATCCACATGGCCAACGCCCAATTCAACTACGGTTTCGAGTACCTCGGAGTGCAGGACAAGCTGGTTCAGACTCCGCTCACCGACCGGTGCTACCTGACCATGACTCAGGCTCTCTGAGGAGAGGCTGGGAGGATCTCCTTTTGGTATGTCACGCTTATTGCACTCTCAAACCCTTGGAGCCGGAGGGGGAGATGGTTTAACTCCATACGAGTGGCGAGCCCCGTTCACTACCAAGTGTGCATTAGCGCATTATGCAGACCCTGGGTCTAAGGGTGGGGCCTGTCTTATATCAAATATGTCACTTTACACTAGTGTGCCTCGGAGTGAAGTTTATATACTGCGATAAAACCTCCACTAACTGGACACGTGTAGGGTGCGCAGCGATCGTGCGTTGGACCTTCTGCTCGCTCAAATAGTGTGCTTTATTTGGAGTTTCAAATGGACGTCTATTGTTCCGCGGACCTGTTTCTCTACTACTGTATGTGTTCAGTCATATGTGGTGGTGTTGATGTGCAGGACCGGCAGGTACGGGGAAGACCGAGTCAGTCAAAGCTCTCGGCCACCAGTTGGGGAGATTCGTTCTTGTCTTTAACTGCGACGAAAAGTTTGACTTCCAGGTAAGGAGCATGTGTACCTAACAGTTTTGTGTTGATGCTACTAGGGACTGTTCCCCTGCCTCCCTTGCCTCCCTCGCCTCCCTCCCCTCCTTCCCTCCCTCCCCTCCCTCCCACTGTGCTCCTCAATACTAGGCGATGGGCAGGATATTTGTCGGCCTCTGTCAGGTGGGAGCGTGGGGTTGTTTTGACGAGTTCAATCGTCTGGAGGAGAGGATGCTGTCAGCAGTCAGTCAACAGATTCAGACCATTCAGGAGGCCCTCAAGGACCAGGGCCAAACTACCAACAGTCAGTATAATACTCCCATCTCTCTCAGTGTTAGAGCTCGCACAAATCAAATATTTGACTTCGTAGTAAATCGTACGGTTTAAGTATGCAAAGCCCCGTATTACAGCAAGTGTGTTCATCTTGGGCTCACTATAGCTAGGCAGCTTATACATATCAACGGTTTAGGAGTCCTGCGACCTTTTACATAGCATCCTTGCCACACTTGAAATGCTACAGAACGAGGGCAGATTCCACTGACTCGATCTATAGTAGCGCGTGCCCCCTCGTGTCACTGCAACTGTCTAGGAAAGTGTGAGACACTCTGTCTTTTCTGGCCCTCTTTCTCTCTTCTCACATCCTCTCTCTGTCTCTGTCTCTCTCTCTCTCTCCCCGACCAACCACAGCGGCAGCAAAGACCATAGCGGTGGAGATTGTGGGTAAACAGGTGAAGGTAAATCCCGACATGGCCATCTTCATCACCATGAACCCTGGCTACGCCGGCCGCTCTAACCTTCCCGACAACCTGAAACAGCTCTTCAGGAGGTTAGGAGTAAACGTCTGTGAGATTGTCGGCATAAATTATTGAACTTGGTGACTATGGACTAAACCCGTTATCTATTACTATCCTTCAGTAAGAGATTGTTTTAATGGGTGCCTTTTTGAGCTTTTTTGTGATGAGTGAAGGGGTCCCATCTATATAGCTCGTGTTTCTGTCACTTGACAATGTGCACGCAGAAAGAGGAAAGTGATTCAAGGGCTGAATTTTATGGCTGCACTTGCATTAACCCGTCGAAAGTGTGTCCATATGCTCTCCCTCCCTCCCTCCCTCCCTTCTTCCCCCAGCCTTGCAATGACCAAGCCGGACCGTCAGCTCATAGCCCAGGTGATGCTCTACTCCCAGGGATTCAGAACTGCCGAGGTCCTCGCCTCCAAGATCGTCCCCTTCTTCAAGTGAGTTCTCTAGCACTCCTACATTTCTCTGTCTTGTAGTATATACTCCACAACAAAATGAAGAAATTTTTAGCAGATGTTGTATTTTCGGGTAAATGTCATTTTATGGTGTGAATTCCTCTATAAAGAACTCTCGTATAGTTTTGGGTAGTTCTGATTCGTTTTTTTGTTGGTAAAGTCGGGAAAATTTTGCTCTGCTATGTATAATTATACATTCTGTAAATTTACGTTCTGTATATATAATTTCCTTCAAGGCTGTGTGACGAGCAGTTGTCGAGTCAGAGTCACTACGATTTTGGTCTGAGGGCTCTGAAGAGTGTTCTGGTGAGTGCTGGAAACATCAAGAGGGAGACACTCAAGGCCATCAAGAGACAGAAGGAGAGCGGAGATGTCGCCGAGGAGATCAACGAACAGGAGGTGGGTGGGCTACTAGTGGCACTATTCTCAGATTTTGTTAAATATGTAAAACAAACTAACAAGCCATGGGTGTATATACCAAACGTAGTTGAAAGCTGAACAGGTGGGCTACCATTGGCTAGCACCACTATTTAAAAAAAATTATACCTAAATTTTGTGATTTAGTAAACACGAAAAAGCCATGGGTACCAAACTGGTTTCATTGAACCTGGGTTGTTCGAATGTGCATGTGGTAGTAAATGGACATCAATGTGTTGGTATGTCATGTAGCATAAACATGCACTTCACATGCCAAGTATAACTAGTTACATGCACTTCACATGCCAAGTATAACTAGTTACCGTAAATAAGCCATTTTATTTTCCTCTTCCTGCATCTCTCTCTCTCTCTCTCTCTCTCTGAGCAGATTCTGATCCAGAGTGTGTGTGAAACCGTGGTACCGAAACTGGTGGCAGAAGACATCCCTCTCCTGCACAGTCTCCTCACCGACGTCTTCCCCGGAGTCAAGTACAGGTCGGCCGACGTCGGGCAGCTCAAGGCCGAGATCGCCAAAGTCTGTGCAGAGATGCACCTCGTCTGTGGTGACAACGACAGCAGCGCTGCTCAGTGGCTTGAGAAGGTACTATATACTGTACGTTGTCAGGGTGCAGTTTTACTTTGCCTTTGCCTCGCTAACTCGTCGTTGACATGGCTGTAGTGCGGTGTGCGTTTCACTGTCAGTATCGTAGAATTTTCATGTGGAAATCCCTCCTTTTTCATACTTGGGATGGCAGGACAATTCATGTGACCTGTAGCAAGAAGTTGTACCGCATATTCAAAACGAATTGTAAATGATGCTTTTTTGCTCATTTTTCCTTTCCGCGTGCATGTGTGTGCGTGTGTCAAGAACTGTCCCTATTCTTCCCATGCTACAACAGGTTCTTCAGCTGTACCAGATCACCCAGCTGCACCACGGGCTGATGATGGTTGGACCCAGCGGCAGCGGCAAGTCCTCTGCCTGGCGCGTCCTCCTCAAGGCCCTGGAGAGAATCGAGGGCGTGGAGGGAGTCGCTCACATCATTGACCCCAAGGTTACTTCTCATTCGATGAGACTTCCCACAGTGTGTCATGCATAATGTATGTAGGGACAGCATATTCCCAAGTGTTGCGCAGTGTAGCGATGTGGATGTACCTTCTTTATGAAACCACATTCATCATGTTGTTTGCACTATATTATATATGTGAACAATCCAATCGATCCTACTGGATGCACTAGTTGACTTGCATTGGATTAGAACGTTTCACTAAAGAAAGTCTAAGGCTTTTACCACCATGTGTACACATTATGTCTGATAGAGGCATGTGTGATGTTGTCAGTTTGACTGATGATTCCAACTGTAAATTCTGCTAAGATTGTGAATTGAGCTGTTGTGTTGTGTATCAGGCCTTATCAAAGGAACATTTGTACGGAGTGATGGATCCCAACACCAGAGAATGGACCGACGGACTATTCACCAGCATTCTGAGGAGGTGAAATCCTTAGTACCTTTCTACTAGTGTAATTTTTAGATTTTGGGTGGGGCTGGGAGATTAAAATTTTCTGTCTCTTATTTACCTTTCTAGCAGGAAAAATTGAATAGTGTGGCATATTGCATGCAAGTTTTTGGTTGTAGCCAGTTGGCCTAAATACGTCGATTCTTCCTCTCAGGATCATAGACAATGTGCGTGGGGAGCTGAGCAAACGGCAGTGGATCATCTTCGACGGAGACGTGGACCCCGAGTGGGTGGAGAACCTCAACAGCGTGCTGGACGACAACAAACTGCTCACCCTCCCCAATGGGGAGAGACTCGGAATCCCTCCCAATGTTAGCTGCACTTCCGTCACTCTACTTGTACCGTATATAAATAAGAATCCGAGTCCAGGAAAATAATTTGGGCGTATTAGAGAGGTTAAGGGCCCTGAGCTGTCAGTGTTCGAACGCAGCGAGGATGCTACTGAGGACCCTCAAGCACGCGCAAAGACGAGGCGTTTAAAACCTTTTAAAACCTGACGCCAATACATGCACACAATTCCCTCCCTCTTGCAATATCTCATTTCTCACAGTCTCTGTCTGCTCTTGAGATATGCAGGGGTAATCCCCTCCCCTCCTATACTAGTGCTCATCAATTACATTGCCATTATCTGGGCTGGCGTGTACTCCCTGTGTTTATCTAAGACCTGATTTGCCTTCTGGGAATATTCTCTAGAAGAAAATCTGTATATAGTAGATTGCCTGGCTCTATGTTGTCTGCACAGGTCCGTATCATGTTCGAGGTTCAAGACCTCAAGTTTGCCACACTGGCCACAGTCAGTCGGTGCGGAATGGTCTGGTTCAGTGAAGACGTGCTCCAGTTGGAGATGGTCTTCGAGCACTACCTCATCCGCATGAGGAGCATCCCCATCGACGAGGCAGAGGACGTGGGGATGGGGCCGGGCGGGGCGGGCGTCGTCTCTCCAACCTTGCAAGTAAGGAAGGGAAGGATTAGTGTATTCTAGACCTGCACCATTACACCTCACAGTATAGTGTAAGAGTTGCTTTCTATAGTGTATGTACACAAAGTCTTAATTTGACTACAGCACGTCTATGGCTCGTGTTGACTGTGACATGTTTGATGTATATATATAAGAGTAGAAATTCAAGTGCTCCTTTAGGGAGGAGTTATGGTCATAATTATTATGCAAACAGTGGATACCACTAGCTGTTTCTCCTCCCACTAAGACCTTGGGCTACGGTGCTAATGTGTCCCCGCAGGTCCAGCGAGACTGTGCAGACCTACTGAGCCCCTATTTCACGGCCGATGGTCTGGTGGCGCGTTGCCTCCAGTACGCCCAGGGGCAGGACCACATCATGGACTTCACTCGCCTGCGAGCTCTCAGCTCCCTCTTCTCCATGCTCAACCAGATGGTCCGGAACATCCTCAGCTACAACCAGTTTCACCCTGACTTCCCCCTACAGGTTGGCCCCTCCTTCTCTCTCAGTTGTAGACTTACGTAAAGAGTAAAGTTTCCCATCCCCACCATTCTCGTAGGAAAGTCGCTGTGTGTAATGTGCAATATTAGAACTCTGATTATGCACAGATTGCAGCATACACATGTAGCGTTCCCCGTCTCGCTAGTTGGCGGCTGGCACTTCAGTTGCCACGTTTGAGAGTTTGACTATCATCATTTTACTCATATATAGCTACTAAATACTGCTCTCAGTCTAGCACACTAACACTACTCATGCGTGCTGGTATAGTAATGAATAATGCAAATTAGTAGGAGCGTTCAGGAATGTTCGAGAGTGCCATGGGTTACACACAGGGTACATGAAAGACTAAGATGGTTGATTTGAACAGTATGAGCTAGAGTGTTTGGGTGAGTCAAGCTTCTTGCAGAGGCTTTTTTGTTGCGAGTCCCTTCCTCCAAAAAGCACCTCAGGTTAGTCGCTGCAGTTGCTCGCTCTCCTAGCTCCTCACTCCCTCTCTCGTGGTCCCTTCATCACCTGACCTCTCGGCCTCGTCCGGGTGGCAGGGGGTGTACACTACGACCAGGGGGGGTGGGGCTAGGGGGTGTGGTTTATTGTGGTGGCGAGGACGGCTGAGGTTGTCGAGAGGAAGGAGAGCAAACATCGGCAGTGGTGGGTGTGGCTTTTGAGGACCTCTTTCTTAATGTCCGTTGATATACAGCCACAATCTCCACTGCTACATTATAGCGCACGTAGGCACAGTGGCTGCAGTTCAGTGAGGAGTTTGGCCAGCGGGCGGAGTTTGTATAGTCGGCTTTGAATTCAGTTTCAGCAATTTTTGAAGGACAAAGTCAAACTTTAAGAGTAATGCTGTCAAGCTGTCAAAGCCCCTCTCCTTCTAAACCTGTTTGTCTGGTATGTCCGGTGTGAGCAGATGTTCTAATTAATGCCCCCTCCTAAACCTGTTTGTCCAGTATGACCAGCTGGAACAGTATGTACCCCGTTACCTGGTCTACTGTTTGGTGTGGGCGTTCTCCGGGGACTCCAAGATGAAGTGTCGCTACGACCTGGGGGACTTCATCCGCAGTGTGACCACCATCCCTCTCCCCTCTCCCTCCTCCCCCGTCCTCGACTATGAGGTGGGTATGGTATCCCGGTGGCCTTCTATTTTATGCTGGTGGTGTCCTTTCAAAGGGCCCCTGGTGCTTGATACAACATTTTTATTGGATCATACTTGTCGTGTGATCTTACCCCATGTCACATGACCTGGCAGGTGACCATCCAGGGGGAGTGGTCTCTCTGGACTGGCAAGGTCCCCAAGATCGAGGTGGAGACGCACAACGTCGGGTCACCTGATGTGGTCGTCCCGACGCTGGACACCGTGCGTCACGAGTCACTCCTCTACACCTGGCTCCAGGAACACAAGCCGATGGTCCTTTGTGGTCCCCCTGGCTCCGGGAAGACCATGACTCTCTTCTCTGCTCTCAGAGCGCTGCCTGATTATGAGGTACTGAGTACACCACACCACACCACACCGTACAAAGTGTAATGGACAGACTGTTGTATATTTGGTTACGTATGCATGTATGGTCTTTCCAGCCGGCACTATCCTCAGTGTTGCGAGCGCCTAGCTGGATTGCGAACCTAAGGCAACATGCGTACAGTCACTACACAAAGGTTGTAAATATCAGTCCCAGTTTTGGTAACTAGGCCTTTCTTCTGGAACCAGTTAATTGGTGAAAGTTCAAGAGTTCGTGAGACTTTTTTTGACTGGCCAAACCGGGGAAAAGCACGCACGCCCGTCTTTTAGGCTTCTTTTGAGGAGTTGCTACAACTCGTACACTGAGTTCTTGCCTTGAAGCACTCGCAAGCCTATATAGCAAACAATTATAGTTTTTTCCCAGCACAATGACTCTGTTTTCTCGCCTGTGTAGGTTGTGGGGCTCAACTTCTCTAGTGCCACGACCCCAGAGCTGCTCCTGAAGACGTTCGACCATTACTGCGAGTACCGTCGGACGCCAAACGGGGTGGTCATGTCTCCCATCCAACTGGGAAAGTGGGTCGTCCTGTTTTGCGATGAGATCAACCTCCCCGACTATGACAAATACGGTATGCACTGGAGGCCTCTTCTGCTGCTTTGTACAAGTCTAGTGGGTGGAGTGCATTTGTTCTGAAACCAGTTTGTGTTTTGCATTTTTTGGGTATACCAAAGAGGTCGTTCACCTTTTAATGTACTGACTAGCTGTAGAGGTCTGCATAGGCCTGTAGTTATAATGTATGGACGAAACTTTTGCCCCGGAGTCAATTTTTTTTTATGGTGGTCTCGTTCAGGAACGCAGCGAGTGATCTCTTTTCTGAGACAGATAGTTGAGCACGGGGGGTTCTACCGCAACTCTGACCAGACGTGGATCACTCTGCAGAGGATCCAGTTCGTGGGGGCCTGCAATCCTCCCACTGACCCAGGCAGGAAGCCCCTATCTCACAGGTATAATACATGTAATACACAGGACCTATATACTGGTGTGTATGTTTTAGTGTGTGAGCTTGTTTTGAGAGAGTGGTGGGAGTGTGAGGGCGTGTATATAGAACCAGGACTTTGTAGTTTAACACTTTACAAAGTCCCGTATCATTATGCCTAGTGTGAACATTATAATGTTCTGCTACTTTTGAAGTACTAGTAGGAATGGTCACGTGAAATGAAACGGTGTATATACGCGATGGGTGAGATGTGATATGAAGTAATGTGAAATGTGTCCTCAGGTTCCTGCGCCACGTCCCGGTCATCTACGTGGACTATCCTGGGTCCCTGTCTCTGAAACAGATCTATGGCACCTTCAACAGAGCCATGCTGAGACTGGTGCCTAATCTGAGGGCTTACTCTGAGCCTCTCACCGAGGCCATGGTGGACTTCTACACCATGTCGCAGGTACTGAATGTGGCAGTACATATGGGGCTAAATTTAGGACATTATAAACGAAACTGCATTCTTGCACTGGGCCCTATTGTTTCTTTCTATCTTTAGTAACATTTCTAAATATAGCCCGCCTTCTCCTACAATTGCTATTCCACCCGTCGTTATATAGCAGACAGTGTCACATTTTCTTTCCCTATCACTAAGTACGGTAGTACTTAGTGATAGGGATGACACAGGTTGTCCTGCATTATGCCCATACATTTGAGATTTTCATGTTTCATTTTCATATTTGTATAGGAGCGGTTTACCCAGGAGATGCAGCCTCACTACATATACTCTCCTCGTGAGATGACTCGCTGGGTGAAGGGAATCTACGAGGCTCTAAAACCGCTCGAGACGCTGTCCATCGAGGGTCTCGTGCGGGTTTGGGCACACGAGGCCCTGCGGCTGTTCCAGGACAGGCTCATCTACGACGAGGAGAGGATGTGGACCGACGAGAATATCGACATGGTGGCCATGAAACACTTCCCCAACATCGACAAACAGGTGTGTGACGAGCTTCTATAGCGGTAGGAGTCAACTGGAGAAGTGTTTTACCTTACTTTGGGTACTGTGTAAAGGGAGCTTTCGAGCAAGAAAAAGTTTTAATTTCCCAAATTTGTAAGTGGTGCAAGAATTTGGAGATATTTCCCACTACGACCTTTGTCTGTATCCATTTCAAACTACTTTAGGTTTGTCTATAGGTGAAAGTGGGTACAATAATTATACATCATGGTAGGTCTTCCAAGTCACTTGAACATGTCCCTCTCATCACTCTCTTCATGTCCCTTGCTTCCCCTGTCTCTTCCCCTGTCCACCCCAAAGGCCACCCTAGCGAGGCCCATCCTGTACAGTAACTGGCTCACCAAGGACTACCTGCCAGTCAACCAGGAAGAACTGAGAGACTACGTCCAGGCCAGACTCAAGGTCTTCTACGAGGAAGAACTGGACGTTCCTCTCGTCCTCTTCGACGAGGTCTTGGACCACGTGCTCAGGATTGACCGGATATTCAAACAGTCTCAGGTGTATAAAGAGTAGCTGAGCTGGTACTATTGCAGCACAAGGTTCTGTGTGTCTTTATTTGTGCCTTGTTTTGAACTTCGAAGTTCGTTCTTCTGCAAAAATGTAGTTTCACTGTCTCTGCTGTTGTTCGGCCTTTTCATCTGCGCTTGATAGTTTCGTTGTTTCGAACTCTCTAACTCTCCTCACACCGATGCTCCCCCCTCTCCTCTCCTCCCCTCTCCTCTCCTCTCAGGGTCATCTGTTGCTCATAGGTGTCAGTGGTGCCGGGAAGACCACTCTCTCCAGATTCGTGGCTTGGATCAATGGGCTCTCTGTCTTCCAAGTCAAGGTCAGTCCAACCACCCTTCCTGTTCTTCTACAACTGAACTACAACTAACACCATGCAGCTTTACTAACAGACTTTGAATAATATTTCCCACCCCGTCTCTATTTCTGTACTGAAGTGTTGAAGTGCATAATTTTTTCCGGAATAAAAGTCCAAGTCCATGAAAATTTGCTCCGGTATATACTGTAGTAGGTAGTCATCATCAACATTTTCATGGACTGGGACTTGTATATATACCGGATAAATATGTGAAGCTTCAAAAAAATTTTTTGGTCAGTTTCTATCGTTGTGGTGACATTTGCGATAGTGTCTGTTGACGTCGGTGTCTGGCTCTCCCTCGTCCCTAGGTCCACAGGAAGTACACGGCCGTGGACTTTGACGACGACCTCCGGAACGTTCTCCGTCGCTCCGGCTGCAAGGGGGAGAAGATTGTGTTTGTCATGGACGAGTCAAACGTCCTCGACTCTTCCTTCTTGGAGAGAATGAACACCCTCCTGGCCAATGGAGAGGTACACTGCACTTTAACCATCTACTAATGCTTAGGGATGCCTAGTAGCCATAGCTCCTCACTTGCAAATGTACACTTACAAACTGCAATTGGCCATAGGTGCAATATTTTGCCAAATACTATATGTATCTGGCCTCTCTTGCATCAGTCTATGTGCATGCATGGATTGGTGCAGACTTCTCCCCCCATTTCATGCCAGGATTTAAAGGGAATGTGTCTTAGTATGCAGGTGCTGAATTTAGAACTGAACCATTTTAGTAACATGTTAACCTTTATCTCTTTAATGTTGATATCCTTAATTACTACAGGTGCCGGGGCTGTTTGAAGGTGATGAGTACACCACTCTGATGACACAGTGTAAGGAGGGGTCTCAGAGGGAGGGCCTCATGTTGGACTCAGCAGAGGAACTGTACAAGTGGTTCACACAGCAGGTATGACTGCTGCATTATAGCCTATAGACGCACAGGGACCTACTTTTGTATGATCCATACTCATCAGTGGTTCACACAGGAGGTCTGAATACCACAGTATAGGCCCAATAGACACACAGGGACCTATATATGTACACACTGTTGTATGCTCCATACACAGGGACCTAGTGAGGCTGTTGAGTGCTCCATACTGACACATACGCTTACTTTACGCTTGCACTCAACAGTGTCCTCTATATATATAGTGCACAGACATAGAGGACCTGGTGCTCCATGCATTACATTTTGCTATGTGACAGGTAATGAGGAACCTTCACGTGGTGTTCACGATGAACCCTTCTTCTGAGGGACTAAAGGACAGAGCCGCCACCTCACCTGCTCTCTTCAACAGGTAACCTACCCACACTCACCTCCCTCTCTCTCTCCTGTCTCGCCATCTTTTGTATATATACTCTCGTGGGAGAAAGTTCTCACAAATTTGTAACACGTTCACAAAGTTTTTAGGTTTTGTAGGCGTGGATACAAAATCCAGCAAACTAGTTATTCCACTGAATCACGCGAACTTTGAACATTTTCTGTGTAGCTGTATGTACTTAATGCATGACGTGTATTCTTCCTCTCTCTCACTGTGTGTGTCTCTGCTGCCTGTTGTGAAGGTGTGTGTTGAACTGGTTTGGAGACTGGTCCACTGGAGCCCTCTACCAAGTCGGCTACGAGTTCACCAACAGAGTCGACCTCGACAGATCTGATGTCAGTATACATACAAACACCACTCTGTATTTTCTCTCACTGTAACCCAGTCTTTCCATGTATAAACTAGGAATGCGCACGCGCATATTTTGCCTCGCGCTGCAGCCATTTTGGGACTAATTACATTCCTAAGCGTGACTAATTGACGACATACGTACGTACGCATATCGCGAGAATACAACCCGGAGTAGTTGTCTCACGCTAACGCGCTCGGCAACTATATACTTGTACTCAACTGTGGTTTGCGGAATACGCAAAGTCAGCATTTTAGTCTCTAATGCTCGTGATCTCTAGTGTCCCCATGTCTCGTTATGTCTCCCCTCTCTCTCTGCTGCAGTACATGGCCCCAGACATGGTGCCCCTGGCGTACCCCGACCTCCCGAGACCTCCCTCACACCGACAGGCGTGTGTCAACGCCTTTGTCTACGTCCACCAGACGCTGCACCAGGCCAACGCCCGTCTGGCCAAGAGGGGCGGAGCCACCATGACCCTCACTCCTCGCCACTACCTCGACTTCATCAGCCACTATGTCAGTCTGAGCGACTGGTTTTTTCCCAACTTTACGTTGTCTTCTTACGCTACACACCACCACAACATCGCTATATTCTATACTAGTTCTGCATGCAGGCACTGTAAAAATTGATTGGGTCCAATGTATGTCCATTTTTCAAATGTGCAAATATTGGGCAAGCTGTATGTATATAATATTTAGCGTGTCACTGCAATATTTGTGTTACGGCTCTTTATTTTCCCGTTTCTTTGCATCTACACATTATGCAGTATAAAAAATTCATACCGACCCAGTAAAATATGGAGTGAGGTGCATTTAATTTTTAGTGGGCCATATGTATGTATGTATGTATGATCACATCTGTCTACAGGTGAAGTTGTACAATGAGAAGCGTAGTGACCTAGAAGAGCAGCAACTCCACCTGAACGTTGGCCTCCAGAAGATCAGGGAGACGGTGGACCAGGTGGAGGAGCTCCAGGCCTCTCTCTCGATCAAGAAGAACGAACTCGAGCAGAAGAACGCGCTGGCCAACCAGAAACTGAAGCAGATGGTGAAGGACCAGCAGGAGGCAGAGAAGAAGAAAGTCGTGTCGCAAGAGATCCAGGAGATGTTGGGCGTACAGAACAAGGACATTGCCAAGAAAAAGAAGACCGTTCTCGGTGACCTGTCGAAGGTGGAGCCTGCCGTCAAACAGGCCCAGCAAGGTTTGCGCGGGTTTGTACATAGTGTTGATTCTTAAAACAGTGGTACAGAAACGGTTCTCGTAATCGCTGCATTATTCAGTCAAATAGATGTAGTGTTACGGATCATTGTGCGTGAAACCTTTTCCACTAAATCTTGGAGTAGACTCACATCAAGAAGTTAGGTGCCTGCATCACTGTTTATTTAGCATAAGACATAAAATGGCTGTCGTTGCAAGTATAGCTGCTTCAATTATGAGTGATTTCTCGTCCACAGCTGTGAAGTCGATAAAGAGGCAGCATCTGGTAGAGATGAGGACTCTGGCCAACCCTCCCAAGATGATCAAGATGGCCATGGAGTCCATCTGTCTCCTCATCGGGGAGCCCGCCAGCGACTGGAAGGCCATTCGCAGCGTCCTCCTACGAGACAATTTCATCACCACCATCATCAACTTCTCAACCGACAGCATCTCGTGAGACACACAGTCTTCCCCCTCTTTCTCCCTGCTCTCTTTCTCTGTCTGCCCCTCTGCCACGTGCTAACACATGTATCACATCTTGCCACACCCCTTCTTCTCTCCATGCACTTAACAAACGACGAGGCAGGACAACTCTTGAAAAATTTTTGCGGATAGCTTTGCCTACCTTCCCTCTGTCGTCTCTGAGCACTCCGTATATCTAGTACACTTTGAACTACAAATTTTTGCGTTCAAGTGAAAAATTGTAGGCGTGTGTCTGGGTGATGAATATGGATGTTGAGGTCGTCTGTGATGCACATCAGGCCACAATTTTCTGACAGATACACACACACTTATATAGGCCAGATACCGGATATGGGAATGAAATCATGAAAATCAACCAGTCTGAGTCATTATGATAGTCATTACACACTTGAACAGTAGCAATGTCTCTGTACGTTTACACATATGTACACGTCTAAAAGTGTGCCTATCCTCAACCCTTCTTCTGACCTCTTGCTCTAGGGACACAGTGAGGGACAAGATGCAGAGGGACTACATCAGTGACCCGATGTACACCTTCGAGAGCGCCAACCACGCCAGCAAGGCCTGTGGGCCTCTGGTACTGTGGGCTATTGCTCAGGTAAACAACCATCCTATCAACTGGGCCTGTGGGCCTCTGGTACTGTGGGCTATTGCTCAGGTAAACAACCATCCTATCAACTGGTACTGTGGGCTATATTGCTCAGGTAAACAACCATCCTATCAACTGGTACTGTGGGCTATATTGCTCAGGTAAACAACCATCCTATCAACTGGGCCTGTGGGCCTCTGGTACTGTGGGCTATATTGCTCAGGTAAACAACCATCCTATCAACTGGGCCTGTGGGCCTCTGGTACTGTGGGCTATATTGCTCAGGTAAACAACCATCCTATCAACTGGGCCTGTGGGCTCTGGTACAGTGGGGCTATTGCTCAGGTAAAGAACCATCCTATCAACTGGTACGTACGGTGGGCCTCTGGTACTGTGGGCTATTGCTCAGGTAAACAACCATCCTATCAACTGGGCCTGTGGGCCTCTGGGCCTCTGGTACTGTGGGCTATTGCTCAGGTAAACAACCATCCTATCAACTGGGCCTGTGGGCCTCTGGTACAGTGGATCAACTGAGCACTCTGTGTATAATAACCCAGTTGCGCGTTAGGCAAAGAATTTTAATGAAAATATCTTGACTCTTACGTGCAACTTGGCTATTGCTGCTAGTTGAAGTATAGTGTCGTCAGCTTGTGCAGTAGTAGTAAGACCATAGTTTTCTTAAAGGGAATGTGTCAGTAGGTAAGGGCTAAATTAAGATGGGGCCAAGTGCAAGGACGCATTCCGTTTTTAGTAACAATTTCTAAATTTAGCCCTTATTATATTGCCACATTCCCTTTAAGGCAGCAGACCTAGTAAACCATTGCACTCTTGTGAGTCTTTCATGTGATGGCTGATGCTCCTTTATCTGTGCGCACATTCTCCCCACCCCCCACACACTATCCCACACACACCTTGTCCAAACCAACAGTTGAGCTATGCAGACATGCTGCTGAGGGTGGACCCTCTGCGTAGAGAACTGAGTGCCCTGGAGACGAAGGCCCACAACACCAAGGTGAAGGGAGAGGAGATGACAAAGATCGTCCAGGAGCTTGAGCAGAGCATCACTCGCTACAAGGAGGAGTATGCTATGCTCATCAGTGAAGCCAACGCCATCAAGGCTGACTTGGCCACTGTGGAAGCAAAGGTATTGTGATTGTAGTGTTTTAAACGGTAAGAGTTCTTGTTCCTGCCCTCCAGCAGCAAGTTGATATTTCTTTTCTTATGCCCCTCATACTTGCTCTATTGGCCTGGTTTACAACTAAATTCATTGACACAGCCCTTACACGTGATCTTTTCATAAGCTGTGATTGCAGTCAACACATCTCCTTGTTATGAAGTATTATGTGAACCGGGCTGTACACATTCGCCGTGTCCATCTGTGTGTTCTGTGGATGTATAGGTTGAGAGAAGCAAGGCCCTGCTGGCCAGCCTGGCAGACGAGAAGGAACGCTGGGAGGCCGGCAGCGAAACGTTCAAGAGTCAGATGTCCACCATTTCCGGGGACGTTCTCCTGACCTCCGCCTTCATGGCCTATGGAGGTACAGCTTCTCCCTCCCTTCTTCCCACCTGTCTCTATTTGTGTATAACCTCTGCCCCTCCTAAAACAAGTGTAACGACAAGTCTATATATATCCAGTTTTCGTTTCTTGTTAGCGGGTGCACTTGGCCCACTGTTATTGCGATTGAGACTGGTTCAACGTGTGTGTTGTGTTATTTGTAGGTTACTTTGACCAGCAGTTCCGGTCCAGTCTGTTCACGTCCTGGGCCTCTCATCTCCAGCAGGCCCACATCAACTTCAGACCTGACCTCGCCCGAGTAGAGGTACATACATTGTACACTGTACCATCCTATGATGGTAGAGTTTGCGGATTTTAAACAACTCTTGGTCTGACCGCGGATTTGAAACAACTCTTGGTCTGACCGATCACAAAGTGGTCATTATATCCGCTCACTTTCTCATTTCGTCTTCCTTCTCCACTCCACCCCCTCCCCCCTCACACACACACACACACACACACACAGTATCTCTCGAACGCAGACGACCGCCTCAAATGGCAGGCGAATGCTCTCCCCACGGACGACCTGTGTACCGAGAACGCCATCATGATAAAGAGGTTCAACAGATACCCTCTCATCGTAGACCCATCCGGACAGGCCACGGAGTTCATCATGAATGAGTACAGGGACAGGAAGATCACTAGAACCAGGTGCGCCACTGGTAGTTACCGTTTTGGCACGAAACAGCCAGACTTTGTGTGCGCCCAGCGCTCAGTTCAACCTGTTGTCTGTATGTGTAATTCATATAACCATTGCTCTCTGTGTGTGTGTGGTGTGTGTGCTACTGACAGTTTTCTGGACGATGCCTTCCGGAAGAATCTCGAGAGTGCTCTGCGATTTGGGATCCTCTTCTTGTGCAGGTATAGCACCAACGCAGACACTACACTACACTTCTCTCAGTCTTTCTTAGTCTAGTCTGATTTAACACTTTATGCATACTTGCCTTTTGTCCCCCACCCTGCCTGTACGTGTAGGATGTCGAGAGCTACGACCCAATCCTGAACCCAGTGTTGAACAGAGAAGTCCGTCGTACTGGTGGGCGTGTCCTCATCACCCTTGGCGACCAGGACATTGATCTCTCCCCTTCTTTCACCATCTTCCTCTCCACTAGAGACCCTTCTGTGAGACAGACCCTATGCCTCCTGCCTTATCTCTAGCGAACTCTTAATTGTCCAGGCCACGTTTGTAGACTGTGTCAGAATACTTCTTTATGCAATTTGTTTCTTATTGTAGCATGAATCGCATATCTAAAATTAGGAAATAGGCTAGCCTGCCTTATCTCTAGCGAACTCTTAATTTGTCCAGGCCACGTTTGGACGTGTCGAATCTTCTTTATGCAATTTGTTCTTAGTTCATGAATGCTATCAAAATTAGGAATAGCTAAAATATGTATAATTATAGGTATGATTCACATCTCGTTTTGCTTCATTCTACTATATCACTCACCTCCTTTTGCTACTGTTCTATCATGTGTGTTGAGCGAGCGGCCATCTTGTCTTCTCCTGTCCAGGTGGAGTTCCCTCCTGACCTGTGCTCTCGAGTGACGTTTGTCAACTTCACTGTCACTCGTGGCAGTCTACAGAGCCAGTGTCTCAACCAGGTCCTCAAGGCCGAGCGACCGGACGTGGACGCCAAGAGATCAGACCTCCTCAGCTACAAGGTCTGTTATATATGTATATGTATGTACCTCTGCCAAGGTATATACTGTATTGCTTACCTGAAACAAGGAATTCACTCTCTTCAAGCATAGTGGTAGCTTGTGGTAGTGAAGTGAAGTTACCAAATTAGACGTGTAAAATATGGTCCAACAAACAGTTAGGGTGGATCTTTATCTGTACTTCTATTGCCTATTTTTCCTCTATGTGGCATGTAGGGGAATTTCATCTGCGTCTGAGACACTTGGAGCAATCCCTGCTGCAAGCTCTCAATGAGGTCAAGGGTCGTATCCTAGACGATGACAGGTGAGGTCCGGCCCAATGGTAATGGTAGTGTAAGGGGAGGAGGCCATTGCAGTTACCTTTGCTCCGTAGTGGCTGTGTGCAGTGCCACTGCAGGCGTTCCCTGCTGCATACATCATAATGTGGTCTGCCTCAGTCTCTGTTTCGGCCTCTTCAGGCCTTTCACTGAGGCACTCCTACAAAATGAGTTTTAGCTCATTGTGTGCAATCAGGTTCAAGGACTAGGTTTTACCTTTTACATGGCGAAGCGGTAGCTGTGTGAATTGTATAGGTTTGTACATGTGAGTTTGCCTTTTCAGCTTTGTTTTAGACGTTTATAGTTCCAGCTCCCTTAGAATTCGTTACTGTGTCCAGGATAATTGGTCAGCTGGAGAACCTGAAAGAAGGAAGCTGCAGACATCCAGAAGAAGGTGGAGGAGACAGACGTCATAATGGCGGAGGTGGAGCGGGTCTCCCAGCAGTATCTCCCTCTCTCAACCTCCTGCTCCTCCCTCTACTTCACCCTCGACACACTCAATCAGGTTTGCTCCATTTAGAACTGTGGGGTGGGCTCTATTTGGAATTGATGTGGGTGGGCACTATTTGGAGTTGACAATGTTAGAGAATGGGGCTCCATTTTTCTATTATATCCTGCACAGGTTCACTTCCTGTACCAGTTCAGCCTCAAGTTCTTCCTTAACATATTCCAAGTGGTCCTCTCTCAGAACCCCAACCTGAAGAGGATCACCGACTACTCGCAGAGACTGAACACCATCACCACCGACATGTTCCAGGTACACACACGTCGTGGGTTAACTGGCATTTCCAATACTGACTTGAACATAGAGCATAAGCAAATTGGTGATGTGGGGTGTGAGCGTGTAATATGCCATGTGCTGGTGATTTTAGCTCGAAATGGTTTGATCACGATATGCTGAAAAGTTGCGTGTAGACTTTGAGTGGTCCTAGTCTTATCTCAAGTCGTAGGTCTGCAGTTATTTAGCTCCGTGGTGGCTGACTGGTGCCACTTATGGCGTTCCCTACTGCAGAGAGCAGTACGCAGTGTGTGCTTCGCTATCTCGCCGGGCCCTCCCATGGTGGCCTGGTGGAGACACTAGCACACACACACACCTGTAGCTGTACGCAGTGTGTGCCTCGCAATCTCACTGCCTAGCTCCCTCAGTGTTGACTGGTTGGAAAGTGTGTTAGGAGGCCTCTACTGGTGAAAGTAGGCAATGGTTCAACCCAACACTAAAGAATTAGTTGTGTGTGTTTTATAGATCAAATAGTACGTCACAGTAATGTATT